AAAGTATGCTAAACTGTACTTACTTCGAATCTGTTAGAAGTTTGCCGACGGTCTTGCATTCTTGATAAAGTAATATAGCACCAAAACGACCATGCACAATATATCCAAATATGACGCAAACAAGAAATAGCAACACCGGTTGTTTTACGTTGAGGTTATTCGGATCAGCCACACCTGGACAATATCCCACTAACTATTGGAGTCAGCGTTTCACTAGTTATAACAAGGCTTACCATACGTCCCGTTTTTCAGCGTTTTGTCCCGATAAGTCAGTCAGAAGTCCCGCTTTTCGAGCATAATACACAAACATGTTCTCGTTACTGTTGTTTCTGTGTAGCGCAGCGCTAGCCTACTTACTGAAGGTGAATGCGATCGTTTCCCGCTGATTCCCATTGATGACAGACGTATCGCATGTAATACCAATACTAATTAGTCTAAGTCAGGGGTCTTAAACTCAATTTATCTGAGGGCCGCCGAGACGGAGCCTTAGTGAGTCCGGGCCGCATCAGTTTTTTCACAATAAAAGCATTAAACTTAAAAAGTTAAATCTTTTCCTCTGTTTTCTATACGCAAAACATGTCAAAAACATAAATGTAAGTAATTCCGCGATGGACCTTTCCCCGAGCATCTACTTCCTTGTTTAAAAAATGGCGTAACAATAGACTTTTTCGCAAACGCTCAGACACTTGTCACTCAGAAAGATTTCCAGGCATGTTAGTAAACATTACCTCGTTTTTGCATGCTATTTGTTAGTTTTGGGTTGTGTTTCAGAAATTCAAGTATGAATCAAAGAGCTCAATGATCATTCTGATTTCTTGCGCGTCGTAGCCTAATTGCCGTAATCAAAAATCCGTCTGTGATAGACTAGGCTAAACTTCTCCACCGGTACCGTACTGTTGAAAAACAGGTTGTTGAATGTTTTGAATCAAAATGATGACGTGAAACATAAACCCCAGTATATAGGGTTCAACTCGCGAAGCCACCTCTAAAATAAGCACCAAGATTTTGCAATGGTAAGGTAAAAAAAATTTCTTCGGGGTCAAGGTCCATCGAATATCATGCCTACAGGTACGGTACCCGGTACTAGTAGCCTACCGTACCGCATATTATCATATTATTCGGGAGATAAATTATAAAATATTTTGTTTGCTCTACTTGTCCTGATCATATATTAAATGCATCAATCATTACAACTGAGCTGAGTGACTTACGGGCCGCACTGCATCGCACATTAAACTTTCATACCAAGGCGGGGGCCGCAAACTATCGTCCTGCGGGCCGCAATTGGCCGCGGGCCGCGAGTTTGAGACCCCTGGTCTAAGCGATTTAAGAGTCTTGCTGCACACTAACTATGTATGTCTGAAGAAGTCTGACCTTGGTCAGACGAAACGTTACAGAAATATATTTGTGTTAGTGTGCAGCAAGACTCTTGAATCACTTAGGATAGTTATCTCTACTCTTGCTACAGCATCTTTGCAATATATGCATACGGATCTACCAGCACAAAAGCATAGAAAAAGGATAAGTAGTTAGTCTCGCAGAAACCAAATAATCAGCGCTAATTAGTCTAAATTCGAATTATTGGTACGGATATCGTTAACGTCAATTTCTTCCTATTTTTCGAACTGAACCCGATATTTGGACAGAGAATATGCGCATGAAATTTCGATAACAATATGGTCAATAAAGACAGGCGAAACAGCTTTAAATGTAGGCCTATGTAGTAAAATCGAAAAATGTGAAGTTACAAAATCACGGCTAAGGGGTTGTTGTCTTTTGAGGCGTCCCGATTTGAAGTCACAAAAATATGGTAACCCTAGTTATAACTATCTGTTAACACGCGTCCCAGATTGAAATATATTCTCTCCCCACACTACAATTTATGCGCAAAACTACAACCAGCTCGAATACGCGGCTCGTTTAGTTTATGGAAAATCCACAACACACACACACAAACTAAAAATGGAGAATTTTGGAGAGTGAGCAAAATTCCCACCCACAAACCTGGGTGATAGAGGCTTGGGACAGAGATAAACACACACAAAAATACGTGAATGCCTTGAATTCCCGGGCTGTTGTATTTTTACTGAGACTAACAAGGACCAATTTAATCTGATACAAAGATAACGTATGGAACGCATTGTGATAATGTGGCGAGGTTTGTAAACAGACATGAAAACTACACTGATTAAATGCTTAAATCAGAACTATACTGGTAAATTCTGTGTAACGCCTCTCATAAAAATATTCACAAAGGTGAACTAGAAGGAAAATAACGAACTTCTTATTTTTAAAAGTATGCAAAACTGTACTTACGTATAATGCCAATGAGAGAAGGCTAATATAGAAGCAAATGTCCATTCACGATAAATCCAGATATAGAAGGTCGCCTGCTTGTAAGGGCATTCAGCTAAACCAGGGGTCGGGAACCTTTTTGGTCAATAGAGCCATAAAATATACATATTTTCAATTGCATTTCCGTGCGAGCCATATACCATTTCTTCACTTAATCAGGCCTGAAATGTTTACTCAAAAGTCAACACATATAATGTCAATATACATTTAATATGATTTCTGATGCTGCATGGAGTCGCTGCGGGCCTTGAACGGTTGCTCACATGCAGCCCAAGTTGAAATCTACGATACTCATCAGCCTTTTTTGTTTAGGCATATCCGTAGTGTTTTTAAAACTATATCGCTTTGTGATGTCACAATATATGTTCCAGAATCCCCTTGTTTGTCACAATGCCTGTCTAGTAATATCTTACATAACATAGACATGTGCTGGGCGCGTGTTCTGAAACGTATTGGGAATTTCCTGCCAAATTCGGCTATAAAAGAGTTTGGGATCTCGTAACAATAGTAAGCTTAGTCTTAGAATATTATATTTTTCTGGGAGCCATATGCCGTCACCAAAAGAGCCATATATGGCTCGCGAGCCATGGGTTCCCGACCCCTGAGCTAAACGAACGTGGGCTGAAGGCGCCTGTTCTATCATAATGCAGCTAACGTAACGTCACAATTGCTCCCTACCTCTTTTTCTTCGGAAATCGGTATACATATGCAGGGTTGCCATATTGGCTTTTTTAAAACACGCTTGGCGTCAGAATTCCCGTTTGGCGTTTTATCTTTTTGATTTTTACTCGTAAGAGCATTAGGCGTGCAACAAAAGCCTATCGCTTAGCTACTTGACGTTTTGATTTCTTTGTTTATTTCCTAAATCTTCCCGATCAGTAATAGTCTACCTACAGTGAAAAAAATATTGGGTTAGAAATATTAGTTTTAAAATTAGATTTCTTTGTTTATTTCCTAAATCATACCCGATCAGTAATAAGCTTACCTACTGTGAAAATAATATTAGGTTAGAAATATTGGCTTTAATTGTTTAGCGGTTTGAATGAAATCGCCCGCAGACTGGCTGCGCCACTCTAAGTGAACAAAGATGCAACAATTGCTATTTTTGCAATCGCTCAAACATATATTCATACAGGATTGTTAACATTCCCTCGTTTTCATACTTTTTAACAGTCTTTAATCGTGTAAATTTAGTGTAATTACAGTACTCAAATATCAGTCTCGCGCTAGAATAGACTAAAATTAGTTCGGCACGTGAGTTTCAAATATGACAAATCATGGAGTTTTGTACTTCGTAAAATTGTTGGGTTTTTTGATCATTGGGATCTGGCTACCCTGCACGTAGGTACTGTATACGGAGTCCAGAAACTTCGGTTTCTCAGTGTAAAACTATTTTTAGTTCGTAAATAAATCGACGGCGGAGACATTTTTAGGCTGGGCGGGTCTCCACTCCACAGTAGTGAAACAATGGATCCAAATGACAGCCGGCCATGCTTAACTATATGTATGTTGGTCGTATCGAAAGGACTCTGTAAGATATTCAGGCCGGCAAACACAAGTGGCGGCGGCACGTGCATATTTTCAAGTTCAGGCCTTGATTCCTGTATACCCACTGACAAGTGAGCCGACGTTCTCGTTTATACCGTCCATTCTATGCAAGAACATATATTTTCATACTATATTGCTCGTTTGCCTGAACAGGTTTTTAAAAAACGATTTGATCGGTCATTTCAATTCCCAACCACAGTATTCAAAATGCTGGGATCAAACAACCCACGAAACGGCGCACTGAACTGGACGTACGCAACAGAAAAGCACTTCCTTTTGCAACGTGTCCTCCCGTGCAAAACCGATTTTTCACTGACCATACTTCAGAAGTAAATCAATCCGAAGACAAAAGTCTTAGTTGGTGTAACATTTTGAAAATATGGTATCTACAAAAAAATGACCGATCAACCAGAGCTACTCAACTGGCGGACCGCGGGCCGAATCCGGACCTTTCGGGTATTCAATTCGGACCGTGCATGTTCTTTATTTGGGACCCTTAGCCCCACCTTTGAAGTTTCCTTTTATAAAATCCCTTTTATAGATAACGCCATAACAAACAATCTTGATTAGCTAATAATCATTAGGTCGGCTGAGAAATTAAGTGTTTAAAGATGCCGAAATATAATTTCTGGAAAGTCCGGACCCAAATATTTTCGAAGTTTTGTATGCGGACCTTCCGTAAAAATAGTTGAGTAGCCCTGATCTAGAGTAGGCCTTTGGCAGACAAAAAAACCAAGCGCTAGTCACGAGTTGAAATAAAAACCATAAAGATGAGCGAAGCAGTCGAAATCTCCAACGTACGGACACAAACTACTCAATTTCTATCACTTGCATTTCAGGGCGCTTCCTAAGTATTGGCGCACAACCTGAACCACATACTATGTTTAGGTTGTGCGCCATCTTGGTGCACATACTTCCTGAGGTCCCATTTTAGTATGTTCCTTGCCTTAATTAGCGACGTCGACTAGTTGCCCAAAGGGTCGGATTTGTTATCCTTGCAAGACTTCGGGCTCTTCTGGCGACGTCACTCAACTATATCAGTGTTCTTTTTCCCCTCTTGTTTGGTTCAAATCAAGTGCTTGAAAATATAACGAAACTTCTTTCAGAAAGTTTATTACATGGCGAAAAAGGACGTAAAAATTGAGAGAAATAAGTCAGCTTGAAATTTAAGCTTCAAACACATTAAGCATAAAACGCGCAAGTTCACAGAGACGCAGTGGGATAAGAAATATGTTTCACGATGACAAGGTGCATGGGCAGGGGGCTGAATATGCTTCTGAAAAAGGTAGGGAAATGGCGATTATGATACAAATTTACACGACTGTACAGTATTTCGGGCCTCAAATTGCTACAGCTTCCTTTGTAGAAAATACAGATTATTTAAATATAGTAGAACGGTACAGACTTCAAAACAAATCAGAATATCCATTTGAAAGTATTTTCAACAGGCTTTTTAACTACTACTACTACGGTAGACAACATAACGCATTAACAGGGACTTTCAAATTACCGTATTTTTGCCAAAAATATCTGTTTTATTCAGTCCCACAAATTTTGTTCTAGTCTTTGTCTACAGCTAACCAGGTAAAAACGAAGGTTAACTTATTTTGCCTACAAATATCATATAGAACCACTAATGACGTCAGGAATGGAATTTGTCATTTCATAAAAAAACAATATTAATAAATAGTCAAAGAATCAAAGTTTTGGCTATAATCCGGTTCTAAAGAGATCGATTCAGTGATTTTGAAATAAACCCCTCGACGTAGGGACAAAGTTGAAACGCTGAACCATAAATAATCAGAAATTGATCCCACATTCTAATGAGATATATCGAAGAAAAAAATTTCATCATCTAGGGACAACTCCCTAACAGTATTGATTATTCACAAATAGTCAAATAGATCAATTCCATATTTTATTGACATAATCCCTTAAACCAGGGACTTGGGGAAAATTCCCTCAAACTAGGGACAAATCCCTAAAAGTTGGTTTCTGCTCATTCTCTAACCCTACAGGGTTAATGTTGAAATCTTCCTATCGTTGTCTCCTACTCTTATCATCAATTTATCGTTTGAAGTTGCCTATTTCTACAGGATTCGTTGAATAAGTTTGCTAGCTGAAGCCCTAGGCTAGTGGAAGCCTTAACAATCTGATGACACCTACTTTCCCTACCTGTGAAAAACGATAAATAAACTAGGTAGTACAAGATCTAGGAGTTTTTATAAGGAGAGAAGAGAATTGGCTTTAACAGCCACTTATATGCGGAGAGGTCTCGAGATTTAGATGTTTTTGATTAGTTTTCCAAGTTTAGGACCTGGTTAAACCAATCTGCAATCAGCAACAAAAATGCAAGAGCTCACAGGAGAAGGGTGTTCACAAATTATGGGAGTCATGATAACTAATTTTTAATATAGTTTTCCAAATCTATGATCTCAACAAGGCTCTCTATATAGAGCAGCCATTAAATGCTGGGAGTTGGTTTCATTTTGAAACCAGAATTCAATCAAATGAAGTGAAAATACATAGGGTGTCCTTCCCAAGGTTTCCACCCTCTTTGCAATCGAAAAAATTCATTACTATAGGACATATTATGAACACCCTGGATACATATACTTACCAAGTCCATAAAAGCTTAGCTCGGCCATTTAATCAAGTTTTTATTCTAATTTAAGACAGCGGTGTGAGCCAAAATACATTTTTTCACATACCAGTAAGGCACTGGTGAAACTTTTAAATGTCAACGCGTAGTGTTCGCGTCCAATTTTATCGTTTTATAATTATGTCTTCTGAATCAACTCAGTTAAATTGAGAAAAAAATTCCAATATTATGAAACATATTGAAACATATTTTGAGCCAAGATTTTTAATTATCAATTCGTAATGTTAGTGTCCAATTTTAACCTTTTAAAAATTTAGACTACCGAATGGTACTTAAATTTGTATAAAAAAAATTTCGGTGATCCCGAAGTATGCGAACCAAGATGGCAGACATCGGAACGTAACATGGGTAACAGGTTAGGGTTAGGCGATAATTTTTTTCCAATTTTAGTCCTATTATCAGTTCGAAGACTAGCCAAGAGCCTCCCGTAGTATTTATACCTAAAATTATGGCCTAACCCTAACCTAGTACACATATTACATTCCGATGTCCACCATCTTGGTTCGCATACTTCGGGAGCCCCAAAAATTCAATATTGGGAACTTCCAATTTAAATTATTTAGACATTACATTCGCAGCTATACTTACCAGCTTGCAATGTTGCCACTTCCATTCACTTTCTTTGCAAAAAGGCAAGGGTTATACAAAAGAGCGAACAAAACTCACTTTTCCAAATGTGCAAAAAATGTATTTAAATTTGATGTTTTGGGAATTTGGTATTTTTGAATGTATGATCCAGATTTACATGCAACAATGAAAAAGACTTTGCTTTTCTAGTAACTATATGTATCGCCTTTATCTAAAAAATTTGTCCCAAAACTTTTCTAATCTTTGAAAAGATAAAAATTTGATATAGAGTTTTTCCCAAGGGTGTTTGTCCATCTCAAAAAACTATTTTTAGTTGGTACTTGCAACAGGCATAAAATCCCTACGACCCAAAGGCAAAAAAAGCAAACCCAAGGCTTAAATTTAGAATACCAGGCCAAAATTTTGAGCCAGTTAAATAGAAATGTCTTTTAGAAGCTGCATCTAATGGTGCAAAGATGTTTTGAAGATTTACAGTTACATATGCGTAACTGGTTGAGCAAACTTCACTGGGGTAACACATTCTTACCTTTTTCAGAAATTTGTATCGCTTGTTGAATTGGAATGATGCATTAGTATCTATTGTATCCACCGCCACCTCCGCCCCCACTATAACCTCCACCTTGCCCATATCCACCGCCTTGCCCCCCTGCATATCCACCACCATAACTACCTCCGCCTCCTCCTCCACTGCTTCCATAACCACCTGTGGGAAAAAAAGGATTTGTTAATGCAATAGGAAAGCCTTTTAACGCAAAATGGAAAAGCGTTTCAATGCAAAATGAAAGCGAGAGAAATATTGAGAAACCAGTTATGCAGGGGCGAGAGTCGTTCAAGCATCCTGTCCGGCTATGGCCGATATATATCGGCGGTTTACTGCCGATATGGTATATCGGCTAACACGCAATATCGGCCCGATATATCGGTCGAGCTCTATTTGAGACTGAGAAGTAAATAAATGGAGTTGATTTTAACAGCGGTTCCAAAACTTTTTATATCTTAACCCCTAAATCGAATTACCAAATGCTCAACTAACCCTTTCATAACAAAAGAGCGAAGCTCAAATGTATGGACACGAAAGCTAAAACGACGTCACATGGGTATGCAAAGAGAGCTGCCATGATTTAATGATTTACAAACTTTTCTAATATTGTTTCCTCTGAATCGAATTACCAAAATATCAATTACTCCTTTCAGAATAATACAGGTAAAACTGAATTGTTACGAATAAACACATGCTTAAAATGTGATAATGATGTAATAATTGGCAGTATCTAGAACGCAAAAAAGTAGGAACATAGTGTTAAACTACATCATTCAAGTTTGGCGGGCCATATTAAATCGTTACGTGGGCCGTAACTGCCCACAGGCTGCGGTTTGGAAACCACTGATCTAAGATGAGTGGAATAAAAAGGAGAATCCAAGCATTGATCAGAAAACCTGTCAGTCATATTGGAATCAGACTGGGGCGGTAGTTTATCATCATTTGGAAGCTTGGTTGGTGGCTACGGGTTATAACAGGGGTGTGCAACCTAGTTTATCATCATTACTTATCAATTTTAATCCGTATGTTAATCCGTAGGTATTTGTCAGTTCGTCTGTTAGATGCACGCGATATCTCACGAAAGCGAGATTGAATCTGCTCCAGATTTTGCATGTGCATTCATCATATGTCAGACCAGAAGCCTATTAATTTTGGATGAATTATGTTGTATAATTAGCGAGTTATTAATTAATTAGTGATGGGACACAAGGTGTCACTATGGAGTAAGAGCGCTGTTTTGGGGATCCCCTAACTTTCGATCGATAAGTCTTCGGTCTCTGACCGATATTCTTGCTGAAAGCTTGGTGTGACAAGAGGCTGCTGGAGTAAGATATCTATTTCAGAGATGCCGTGCAAGACAAGGACTGTTAGAAACACTGACATAGTTCAGGCAAGTCCTCTGCTTGTGTAGGGTTTTGTTTTAGAAGGAAAATGTTCTTTGACTGTACCGTTCAACTTTCTAGTGCAATGGTTCTCATAAGTGGGGCGTGTAGACAATTTTTTAAGGGGGCGGTGAAGCTGATTAAAAAAAAAATATTGTTAGATTTAATCTTGCCCGCCTTATTTTGGATATTTATGTTCCATCCACGTATTTTCAATGCAATTTTCAAAATAAAACATACTTTCTCCTTACTATCTGTTATTTGTAGCTTATTGTTAGCTAGTTATTTTTGATGTGGGCGAGACTTGACAAACTGTAAAAAGGGGGTGTGGATGAAAAAGTTTGAGAAGCGCTGACATAGAATATGGGGCGCGAGGCTTGACAAATTCTTAAAGGACTTAAAAAGTTCGAGAACCACCGTTTCAGTAGGAGCAGCAAAGCCTTCTGCTTGTATAGAGCCTTGTTCAGAGAAAAATATGAATTATAAAAAGACTTCCATACCTCCATAAGGTCCTGATGATCTTTGGCTGTATTGTCCTGTTTTCATTGGTCCATAACTAGTGGATCCTCCGCCATAACTCGACCCGTAAGCAGATCCTCCATATCCATTCCCATCAGCTCCATAACCTGAACCAGAGAGAAATTTGAACATTACAAAATTGAGCAGAATGAAATATAGGTGCTCCCGTAGTATGTGAACCAAGATGACGCACAACCTGAACACAGTATGTGTACTAGGTTAGGGTTATCAGGTTGTGCACCATACTAGGAGCGCTGAAATATGTACAAGTCGCAATAGCTTTTGACATTCTTGTAGTTGTCAAAAACTTCGCTCAGAGATCAATCTCCGGCGCTTCCGAAGTATGTGCACCAAAATGGCGCACAACTTGAACCCTAATCTGGTACACATACTATGTTGTTGTACACTCTGGTTGTTTGCCATCTTAGTGCAAATACTACGGAAGCTCCCAATCTTCCTCATTTCCGAATGAGTACGCGTGACCTTGTAATCATTGTATCAGCTAGCAGGTCTGGCCAGAGGCTAGAAAACATGGGTTTCCATGAGTTTTGTTGTTCAAGATTTGCATGATACAGGAAAATGTATTTTGTACATTTTACGAGAGGGGTTCCGTTCTCCCAGTGATTGGGTAGTAGCCCTGTTTGGATATAACTGACTTAAAATCGTAAGTCCAAGCATTATTCAGAAAACCTGTCAGTCATATTGGAATCAGACTGGGGCGGTAGTTTATCATCATATCAAGCTCGGTTGGTAGTTATGGGTTGTGCGAATACAAAGTTTTCAAGGCTCATCCAATTCAGCAAAAAATATTGGGATAGACCAGGTGTGTACAACCTTCAATACAAGGAGGGAAAAATACAAATAACTTGGTGAAACCGTGGCCTGCACCTTCAATTAACATAGGCTCTCATAGTGGTTACAGCCAGTGGTGGGATTCAAATTTTTGTCAGCCGGTTCTATCACAAAAGTCATATTTTTAGTACCATGAAAAACAATTGAATTTACTTTACAATAATTATCTTATATATCAGGCCCGTCGGTAGTTTTTAGAATTGATCAAAAAGGCAGGCCTACGCCGTGCGCACAAAAGTCATCCAATTAAAATGTGTGCCGTGGGCATCAGATATTTTTCAGTTACCAATACAAGACATATAATTATATATATATATATGTTGAGATAAATTTGTGATTTTAGGAAAATATTCAATTACGTAACGGTATTCACAGTCTAAATAACACCTCACGCTGACGAAAAGAATCGGCGATTAAAAAAAAAGAGTCGAATGTTATTACCGCCCAGGCCTCTGCCATAGACAGTTCGAAATATGCAAGCGCATCGATGCCCCGATCCTATCCAATAATTATGTTTAGAATCAGAAGTCCTAAAAAAAGTACAATACACGTAGTACTTCGTGTAAAATTGGTGTACTCTTGAGGCCCCCAAAATCCATTGGTGCCCCCAAGGCAGGGTCAAGACACCCATTTTTGGAATCCCTGAACTAGAGAGCATATTTCACATACCTCCACTATATCCACCACCTCCTCCTGCAGCACCTCCATACCCTTCATATCCACCGCTGAAGCCGCCATAACCTGGAATAGCAAAAAATGTAATATTACTTCTCACTTAATGTTTTTCAGCCGTGCTAGGAACTAGGGCGGGTGTGGGAAATTACGACCCACGGAAGTGTCTCATCTGACCAGGGTCGTAACCAGAAATTTTTAAAGGGGGGGGGGTTTCTAATTTTTTTTTTGCTAAGTTAGATCGAAACAGCTTGCGGGTTCGATCGAACGCTGGAATACGCGTGTTTTTAGTTGTCTTGAAGTTTTAAAAAGCATTTAAAGTTGCGGATAATTGCTATCTATGATACAGAAAATTGATTATATTTTTTTACATTTCAAAAGAGGGGGGGGGGGTCGACCCGCAAAACCACCCACCTGGCTACACCTATGCACCTGACCCACATGTGCCTAGTTTTATGTATATAAAAATTAAAATTTCAGTGGAAAATATTGATGAAAATCACGTCATATTTCTGTATTTGCATCTCTAAGCAAAGTTAACCAATCAATTGTCCGAGATTTACTGGAAATATTTATAATTAAGGTTGTGCATTAGATTCATTGAAGAAAGAACTAAAGTTAAACTTACTACTTCCTCCGCCATAGCCGCCTCCGCCATATCCACCTGTGAATAAAAAAAAAAATAAAAAACTCAGCATATTTGAATAGTAATAGATGACAGGACGACGGTTTTCTTGATCACTATCGGCTTCTTGTCTAAAGTCTTGCTGTAAAACGGTTGTTCTCAACCTTTTACATAACACGTGCCACTTCCATGTTTTGGGTCTGGCCGCGTACCAACGACAAAAGTCGATTTATGGGGTGGTGAACAATGGCACAAAAATCGCGCTATGGGAGTATTTTATGTGGCACAACATCATTTGTGACGTAACACGCAATACAAATGAGGGCGCCCGTTTGAAAAAAAGAACTGGTAGCGCTATAAACGAGGTTTAGCGGATACATATGGTATGGAAGAAAAAGCGGTGCCGGCAAATTATAGCCAACTTAAAGGTTAATTGTTGAAACTTGATAAGCTTCCGGTTGAGAAACACTGCAGTAGGACATCAAAAATTTCAGAAAAACCTATCAGTCATAAATATCAGACTGGGGCGGTAGTATTTCATCATGAGCAATTGGATTTTTGGAGCTGATTCTAATTCAGGTAAAACTTTTCAGATTACAGGAGTAGCAAATATCAATGACATTTGCGAAATCCCCTGCCAGCGAATTGCCATAACTGTTTTAAGAATCTAAGGCTGAAATCGCAAGCTTGCCTCACCCCCCCCCCCCCCCCCCCCAGGGTATGTTAAAAAAGTTTGTAAAATCAGGCTACTGTAATCTGTTTACCAAATAAGTTGGGTGACAAGATGTTTATCTATTAACTTAATTTTATATTGAGCCATCCTGTCTTGACGAATGGGTAGAAACAGCAGTGAATAGACTTGTGGCAATGGGAGAAATGTAAATCCGTATCATAAAAATTAGTTTTTCATAGATAAAATTCTCTCCATGTCTTCCGACAGCAAGCTGCTGCAGTCTAACTTGGCAATTAGAACTGTTAGAACCCCTTTAACTTTTGGCCCTTACATTGGGGATATAAACTCAACTTTGAGACTCAAAATTGTTTTGGTCTCCAAAACCTCTATTATCAAAACCAAATATCCACTCACCTCCACCATATCCGCCTCCGCTGTCACCATAACCTCCGTATCCCCCACCTCCTCCGCGTCCACCTGCTGATATAATAAAAGAAATATTTAGAAACTAGTTATGAAAATGGTTTCAATCAGTGGTTCTCAAACTGGGGGTTGCAAACCTTGCAAAGTGGGCGCACAACAGATTTTTGGGGTCGTAAAGAGCATACCCATTTCACACAAAGTACTATAGTACTTTTTAGACTTTCCATTCGAAACGTGAGCCCATCTGGGAATCGCTGCGCTGCGTGTCCAAACAAATGATACATTGGTTGTTGCTTTTTGAGGTCTTTCAAACACTAAATAACTAAACTAGGATGTATTCTTGCTTTATTCAGAAAACCTATCAGTCATAGCAAATCAGACTGGGGCGGTAATTTATCATCATTTGGAAGCAAGTTGACAAGAAGAGGAGTGCCAGCATCAATTCGATGACAAGATATTAATAGCTGCCCTGTCGTTAATATCGGGTTTTGAAAGTGGGCACGATAGACTAGAGTAGAGCTACTCAACTGGCGGACTGCAGTTCGAATCCGGACCTTTCGAGTGCTAAACTTGAACCGCAAGTCGCTGAAAGACTTTTGATTTTATGTATTTTTACAGGTTCCATAGGGGTGAATATTTTACAATATCCCATGCGCTCACCTACACAACTGAAGCCTTGTCATATCGGCACCAAAGCGCAATATTGAGCATTGCTCTTTTACTGTCAAACGATGCATTTGAAATTATGTTTGCAAATTCAAAAAATATTCTTGGAATGACCGGACCCGGTTAAACTGTAAATTTTGTGCACAAATCTTCGACGAAAATGGTTGAGTAGCCTTGGCTAAAGCGACAGACATTGGCATTACAGGTCGCAATCTCTAGTCCACAACCATGACCTCGCCCAGTGTGTGTGTAGTGCAATGGGTAGACAAACGCTGAATCGGATTGATCACGGTCTTACCAAGCAGAAGTTGCTCGAGCAGAGCCTTTTCATAGAAAAAGCAGCTGTCGCTAGATATAACCTACATGCAATTTACACTCACCTCTTCCGCCATATCCATTAGATCCTCCTCCACCATATCCACCCCCACCACCTGAGAACAAAAATGGCAATCAGATTTGGGCGTCAACATAATGGAAACTCCTTGGAAGACAGGATTCTCATTTTATTAGTACAAATCTGTTTAAATGAAACTTTCAAATTTCAACCAAAATTAGATAAAGCATTTATAGAGTTTCAAAATTGAAACTGATTTTAAAGTATCATGATAAAAAGCTCTATTTCTGAATCTTTAATACTTTAATCACAATCAATCAAAGTAGTATCCCAGTATTTCTAACTATAGTGCAGTGGTTCTCAAACTTTTTGAGCCGCGCCCCCTTTTTTAGAATTTGTAGTACAGATACATTATATTGTGGCATGCGTTCTTTGCACAAGCTAGCTAATAAGGCATTGTAAAGTCATAAGCATAGATTGGACTCAGGTATAGGCTAGTCGATGCAAAGAGATTAGAATTACTCGCAACTAACAAATTACATTAAAAACTCGTTTCGCGGTCCGCACAATTTTTCTTTGAGGGCTGTATTTGGCTTGCAGGCTGTACACCCCTGGTTTAGAGCAAATTTTGTTTGAAAAATAACAGATTTGGGAAAATGGGTTCTCTCTTGCTCTAAGCAAGTGTGCATAACCCTGCTTCATATAAACTACTCAAAAAAAATTATAGACGTCTAGAATGCATTCTTGCTTTCTTCAGAAAACCTATCAGTCATAGAAAATCAGACTGGGGCGGTAATTTATCATCATTTGGAAGCAAGTTGACAAGAAGAGGAGTGCCAGCATTAATTTGATGACAAGATATTAATAGCTGCCCTGCCGTTAATATTAAGTTCAAAAGTGGGCAACGGTGTTTGCTATTAGCGCACCCTACCCCACCAATGAATTAGGTAAGCAAATGCTGAACTAGGAAAATTTACTCTGGTCTGGCTTCGCAACACAAAGGGATTGGAATTATTCGCACCAAACAAATTAAATTAGGACCTCCTGAAGTATGCGCACCTAGATGGCGCTCAGTCTGAACTCTGGTTTGTGTACTAGGTTAGGGTTCAGGTTGTGCGACATCTTGGTGCGCATACTTCAGGAGTACCTTAAATTATAATCTCGTTTCAAGAGCTGCGCATAATTCAAAACCTGCACTTTTCCGCGAGCCACACAATTTTTTAGTGATGACCATATTTTACCCGTAGGCCGCACACCCCCGGTACAGAGCAATTTCGTTTAAACAGGACAATGTGCAAAAATGGGTTTCCTTCAGATCTGAGTAAATGTGCATAACCAGTGGTGGAATTCAAATTTTTCGTCAACCAGTCTCTCACAAAAGTCATATTTTTCAGTCGGTTCTGTTACAAACAGAATGCAAAAATGGGTTTCCTTCAGATCTGAGTAAATGTGCATAACCAGTGGTGGAATTCAAATTTTTCGTCAACCAGTCTCTCACAAAAGTCATATTTTTCAGCCGGTTCTGTTACAAACAGAACATTGACAGTAACCAGTAATTCTAACCGGTTTGCTGATCTCATAAAATTCTGTGAGACGGTTCTATAGAACCGGTGCGAACTAGCTGAATCCCACCACTGTGCATAACTCGAGCTTCGAGCAAACTCCTCAAAAAAAAAAAAAATCCAATCTGAATACTAATAAACTATTATTTAAATAAACATAACCTAGCAGTGACCTACCGAAGCCTCCACCTCCGTAGCCTCCATAACCACCTGTTCAGAGAAGAAAAAGAAAAACCCTAAGTATCTTCCTTAAACGTGATCTAACAAAATAAAAAAGTAAATCTAATTTACAAAAATAACAGTTTGATTGATGCTAGCGAACCCCCCCCTTTTAAGATTTAAAAACTCATAATGGCTTTATGATTCGAATGTAAAACTTAACCAAGTAGGCACATTAGAGATCCCTTGTTCAAATCTGTCTGCCATTTTATAGAGTATGGTCGCTGGAAAACCAGAAATTTTTACAAACAGCTAAATTTTACAAATAGACTCACCACCTCCACCAGAATAGCCATCTCGTTGCGCTTTTACTTCAGCTGTAAAGAGAAGAGGAGAGTTGAACTAGCGGTAGAGATTTTGTTCCAGGCACCGAAGAAAATTAAGGGGGCTCCCGTAGTATGCGAACCAAGATGGCGGACATCGGAATGTAATATGTGTACTAGGTTAGGGTTAGGCCCTAATTTTAGGTATAAATACTACGGGAGGCTCTTGGCTAGTCTTCGAACTGATAATAGGACTAAAATAAGGAGAATTGGAAAGAAATTATCGCCTAACCCTAACCTGTTACGTTCCGATGTCCGCCATCATACTTCGGGAGCACCAAATTAAGATATCACGGTAGGAAAGCATAAGAAGTTCATGCATTACCAAACATCAAACTTTGCGATACTTCATGTATACAATTACTATTGAGCAACACTTCAAAACCAAATATGGAATGAACAATAAAATTTACTAGAAAATAAAACTTAAAAAGTCCTCATTCTTTTCAATTTCATTGCTTGACAAGGTTATTTCACAGATACCGTATTTGCTCGTTTTGTAGCCCGGGCCCATATTTTTTTCAACCAACTCACTAACCGGGCCCTTATTCAAGCGCTGGCGCTTGTTATTTTCGATTATTACAATAATTAATATATTGTTATTTCCAGTTCTCAAGTATGATTTAAACGAGAATAACAAAAAATTTTCTACGCACCGCAGGTACAGATCCACAAATAAAAGTTTTGCGACGCCCTATCAATATTGAAACGGCGCACTCGGGCGTCGCGACGCCCAGTTTGAGAACCATGGTGTTAAGTAATCGATGCTATCTGTCATGTACTTGGACGCGAGTGTTATCGAATTTTGTTGAAAACACATGCGACCCAAGAAAATTTTCATGCTACCCAATTTGGGGTTGCGATCCATAGCTTTGGATTAGGTATGGATTATCAGATTTTTTGAAATAACCTTCGAAGTCGAAGTTACGAACACGCACTTCATAACGCTGTTTCGAGGTTGCGAACGCGCACTCAATAATATTGTTTCGAGGTTACGAACGCACTCTATAAAAATATGAAAAATAATACTGTACAGTATTTGCTTTTCTTCATGTGATATGGAACTGTTTTTTTAATAAATACTTTTTTGCATTATTTGTACATTTTATTACAGTACCATACTTTACAATACAGTACGATATGTATAGAGTAATTTATGTATAATGTTTCGACTTACACTGAAACTCGAGTTACACCCAGTCTCGAGAATGGAACATCGTAAGTCGAGGACTCCCTGTATATCACTGGTACAAAACTGATTTTACTTTCCCTTTACAAGAAAACTTTGTCCTTCCTAGTTTTATTGCTTGAAAAAATTATTTCTGAGTGTTGAGAATGAATTGTTTGAACATAACGGGATTTGGAATAACACTATAAATACGACTGGAATGAAAAACAGTGGATCATGAGCAGTGGCGCAACCAGCGGGGGGGGGGGTTACGGGGGTCGTGTCCCCCCCGTTTGAATTTCGTTTTTTTTATTATTATTGTTCTATGTTAAAACAACGTCGTTCCACGGTCATAACAATCCGGTGAAAACTACTTTTTTCCAGTGCTTTATCACCTCGACGTAATTTAACACCGCCCGACTTCAATCATACCTTTTTGCTGATAGTTACGTAATAATCGCTAACCCCGCGTATATGTTTGTATTCGAAAATGAGATATGTTATCTCAAAAAAGTAGAAATCGCGCGCTGTCGATGCGAATTGAAAGCGACAATAGCATAATGCTATCTCTCTCTCTCTTGTGACGAATACTCTCGTGCTTCATCATCTTGACGCAATGTAACGCCGCCCGTCTTCATGTTATAATAATGCAGTAGAAACTCTGAAAATCTGGATACGAAAATTATTTTCGGAAAAATATTGCTTCGAATAACCTAAGATTTTCTACATATGAAAGGCCGAAAACCGAAAACGCCGTAAACATCCTACCACCCCGTCCACATTCTGATTTAAAAACATTCCACAATTATTTCATTTTTTATCGCAATCGAAAGCAGCCATGTGTGGCACGGCAATAACTAACAGTCGTCGTGAAAGGTTTTCAATAAACTCTGACTTGAAGTGCTTATAAGACGTCGAGGACGTTTTTGGTTGAAAATTTTTTACATTTGTTATCGTATATTTCAATTTAGTCAAATTTTTTAATTTCTTGCAATCTATAAAATAGCTTCTAAATATTATTTGGTTTCTATCGGAGATTTTATCGTTATCCCGAGTCCTGACGTCGTTGATAACAATATCGTTCATTTTAAGTTGGAGGTATTGGTTTATAATCAAAAAATTATAACACATAACATGAAAAATTTAAATCAACGCTGACTCAAAAAGTAAAACACGTTTTTCCATCTTCATTCTCCATTATTGGCGGACGGAAATTTGGGAATCGGGTTTAACTAATTTGATTATGATGACGATGGTAAACAAAAGTACACAAACATACCATACCGTTCTTAGTTTTTAGTCGTTATTTCTCTGTCCTTCTTTCTATGTGCATATTAAGACCAAAAAACGTGTTTTATTATTGAATTCTGCGCTGATTTGAATATTTCATGTCGGCTGTTATGTATTTTTGTTTGTAAATGAATACCGCTAACTTTAACTGAACTGATGTTGTTATCAATGCCGGATGCCGACGAAATCCGCGATAGATATTAAATACTATTTAAGAGCTATTTTATACGCGCTAAATTAGAAGAAATGAAAAAATTTCCTGTTATGTTCGGTCACTATCGAAACTGAGGATGAAAACAACTAATTAAGACACAATTTGCCGAGGACGCCTAAACCATCTCGACTAAGTTAAAATACCCGATAAGAAAATATTTTCAATCAAAAACGTCCTCGAAGTCTTATAAGTTCTTCAAGTCGGCGTTTATCGAAATTCTTTCATTTCAGCTGTAATATATTGCCGAACCACACATGGACGACGACGCCTAGGATATGTGCGCCATATTTGGGATTATTATAAACACGAAAAACAGTATTTGAAGTTTGCGATATTTGAATTTAAATTCGATTTGGACATCCCTGCATTAAATTAGTCAGTTTTTAGTTGTGTTTCCAAAAATTAGTTGTAAATCAATTATTTTAATTGTCATTATGTCTTCCGGTGAGCTTCAGTTTAGTTTAGAATTTTTCCGGGGTTAGGGTCGGGAAAAGGTCCATTCGCAAGAAGTGCATTTTGTTTTTAGTCTTGACGAATTCACCCAACGAGCAAGGCGCGGCACGAGGGAAACACTGGAATTTATTCAAGCCGTGTTTCACTATCCACGAGGCGCAAAGCGAGGAAAACGTTGAAAATAATTAACAGCTTTTCGTTAGCAATTCGCTGGAATGTAATGAACGGCGTTTTGCTACCCACGAGGTGCAAGACATAGCGAAGCGCCGTTAATGAACGAGTGCAAGGTAAGCGAAAGGCTGGGATTTAATCGATGGCGTTTCCCTTTTAACCATGAGCAATTTATCGTGGTCAGCGGGGCGACACCTAGTGGCGTTGCGACTTACGCGGTGGTTGCACTGTGTAAATTCCGGTCGGACCCCCCCGTTGAAAACGGCCTGGTTGCGCCACTGATCATGAGTGCTAAAAGACTCCAAAAGGGGGAAACATGCCATTAAAGGTTACTGAACTACTCTTTGTTAATAGGAAATTGAAATTACAGACTTTGACTAATTCAACACAAAAAGCCTCACCGTCTGCCTTGGCTTTGTCCATCTCAGCCCTTGATAAAGCTTTCTTGACTTCGCACCGACATCCCGGAATTACTTCGTGATGTCTCTTGGCTAAACAGAAAGAAAACATAATTGTGATGAAATTGAATTAGTGCACCTAACATGGCCGAGGGATCTAAAGATGTTACTAGTTACGTGGTAAAGAGAGGGTTTTATTTGGTTAGCATGCGTCAAGATTGCTACAAATTGATTGCTTAGCAGTACAGTGTTGGACCTACGCTAGCATCACGGGCGAAAGAGCATGGTTCCAACCCTTTGCCTGGCCAATCCCCAGGGCATAAGGTAGTCAATGAGTATCTGAGAGATATTTCCTATTCATCAGTGGCTGATGTACAAAGATTGGTGCTCCCGAAGTATTAGTACCAAGATGGCGAACAACCTGAAAATGGCATGGGTGTACCAGTTAAGGGTTGTTCAGTTTGTGCGTCATCTTGGTACGAATACCAGCGCCAAAAAATTTGCCACTTTCGATTCAGTTTTTTTTTCCCAAAAATAAATATAGACTCCCTGGACATCAGTAGCTACTTGTATAAAGCCTTATTTAGGGTGACGAAGATGAAAACCACATCAACTTACCGACGAGTTTATCCACAGTATCGAAATCTGCAAATGTGATGAAACCAAACCCTCTTGATTTGGTGGTTCCCCTTTCTTTCATTATTTCTATCGTGTCTATCACACCGAATTGTTCAAAGTAACCTGGTAAAGTAAAAAAATAGTTCTAAGAAGTCAAGCCCAATAGACCTTATTCATTAAAAACCCATCCTACGCACAAAAAAAAAAAGTGATGTAAAAAACCAATTTTAACATTAGCTCTCATGGGGAATGTGATCACCAGAGCAGAAATTTGCATTTTTTGTAATTTTCTTGACATCTTTCATTGTATACGTGAGCAGTTTTGAAGATAGAATATCTTTTTAAAATTTTTTCTTAATATTTTTAGCATGATAAACATGGTCAAGATTTTTGATAATCGTTCACTGAAATTTTATTGAGCGCGGTGTTTCCGATGACGACATTCTCACCATACCATGACATTCTGCCAACGCTTTGCTCTGCTCTGTGGGATATGCGGCCAGGGTTGTCCAAAACGAATCGAATATTCAAATACCTTTTCGGCTGATTTTCGAATAATTCCGAATCACTTTTCTTTTTGCACGTAGGATGGGTTTTTAAAGAATACGGTCTATTATAAATGAAGAGTGAGAATGGGAGCGATGCTATAACATAGAGATAGCCAGGTTTTTTGAACCAGGTGCCAAAAACTTTGCCCACTTAAGACTGGCGGGCCTTGTAAGTGTGACGTAAAAAGTTACATTTTATAAACAATATTTAGAGTGTTATAAAGCAGAGGAGGAAAACAATAATCCTCGTGCCAAAAGTAAATTAAACCGCAATGTCAACAAATTCTTTGAGCTATTTTAGCTGAAGTTCAAAATTTGATTTCAGTTTGGTTGTGGCAGCATCAGGCGGTCCAGATTGAATTACCCAACGGGACAAATTTGACCCGATCTGCCACCGGAGCCCGATTATTTAACTGTATTTGCAGGCCCGAGCCCAAAGCAAAACAAAATTTCATATTTTATTAGGAGTTCTTTGAATTCCACACATAGTTTTAGTATATATTTTTTATAAACATATTTTTATTTAAAGAAGTCCGCGATAGAGAAGCCCGACCCTACCCGATCGTAATGATTGACATTTCAGGCACAACCTGGCCTGAATTTCGGGTAGAGTGGGGCTTCCGATCTTAGCTCTACTCCTAAGCCCCCGTGACAATTCTAGACCTAAATCAGGTTAATCTATATTTACTAATTCTCACGGATTATTGCAACAATCAATTTTTTTTTATAAGATGCTATATCACAAAGTCCCATAAAAGCAGCTCTATCTGTTATATTGAGCTTAGCTTTAGCTCCACCAAGCTGCTACGGCTCCAAGCTACAACTACCCATCTAGCTTATGACATTAAAATTACCTCTGATATCTTCTTCAGCAAGTTGGTCTTTCAAACCTCCAATAAAAATCTTTTTGACAGAAACATGGGCGCCAGGTTTATCAGATTCCTGAGAAAAAAAAATTAGATTAGCAAAACTTTGAACACGAATTAAATTGGATACTCATTACTTATCGATTTTAATCGGTAAGTATGTTGATAGGTATTTGTCTGTATGTCTGTCTGTTAGATACACGCGATATCTCACGAAAGCGAGATTGAATCTGCTCCAGATTTTGCATGTGCATTCATCATATGTCGGATCAGAACCCTTTTTGATTTTGGATAAATTATGTCGTATGATTAGCGAGTTATTAAAAAATTAGTGATGGGACACAAGGTGTCACTATGGAGTGAGAGCGCTGTTTTGGGGGATCCTTTTGGGGGATCCCCTAACTTTCGATCGGTAAGTCTTCGATCTCTGACCGATATTCTCGCTTTCTACAGAATCTTGCGTTATACGCATACGAATCTACTTGCACAGAGGCATAGCGCAAGGAACGGTAGTCGATTTCGAGTGGACCATGGAAACTAGAATGTGAGTCGCTCTTGGATGAGATTCCCGCTGTTACAAAGTATAATTGGATAACATTGATTCTTGCTTAGGAATCATGAAACATCCGGTATTTATATATAAAATTTATTATTTTTTTACCGGTATTTTGATTACATAGGGCAGTAATTTAGTTGTGAACCATAAAAGCTTAGACATGCCACACACTTTCGGGCGCTACACTCTTCCGGCCCGCGAACATCCCTCCGCTTCAAGTTTTGGTCCGCGGTCAATTAAGTTTGGGAACCCCTGATCTACACGGTCTTGAGCAGGGGAGGGCAACATACGCCCCACAGGCCGGACCCGATGAGATTTTGACTGGCCCACTGACTGTACATCAGTTCATTATGATATTACATTATTACACTTTTAGTACATTATGTGTTTTTTGGTCTCTATTTTTTGTAAAGTTTAAACTTTACTTTAAACGCGATTTATAACTTTCTTTCTTGCATTAGCGAATAAATATGTGATTAGGATATTGAATACTATTCATGTAATAATCCTCCATTTTCCCACATCCGGCGCGTCGACTAGAGAAGTTGCCCACCCCTGGTCTTGAGGGTCTAAAATGCATTTCAAGCTAGGAAAAATTGCTATGTGTGACACAGAAAGATGCTCTTTACATTTCAGAAAAGGGCGAGGTTCGTGACCCCCTGTGCGCGCATGACTTTACTTTGAAACGACTCTTTAAAAAAATATACTCCATACTTCTCGTGAAACTGCTCTCTTGACATCGACAGGTCTTCCTTGAAGTTCATGGGGTCGATTATTCATGCATTCATCTGCTTCTTGCTCTGTTTCATAAGTTACAAACCCAAATCCCTTCGACCTGAACAGAGGTGGGTTATTGTGAGAAAAATAAAGTACAAGGCAGGCAGAGATTAATGTATCAAATCGAACAATTAAAAACATTTCAAATTGAGAACAACTGATTCGAATCAAGCTTAGTGCTTGACAATAAAAGTAATTGAATATTTGAATGCAATTAAATTGGGGGCAGAAATCAAATATATTTTACTTAATTAAATGATAGGGCAGTGGTTTAAAAGACAAATCATATACTCATGACATTCTAAATTAGGAGCAGTACTTCTACATGGACAGCTGATCATAGCAGCATAATGTAACATGGCAAGCATAGCACACGTAAGCAAATTGGACTTATGATATGATCAATATACTGTGGGAAGCGAATGCTCAAATTATGTCGGTCAATTTTGAATAGGCTTATATCGAAAAAACAATTTATTAAATAGTTGGGATGACATACTGAACACAACTCGCTTATTCTCAGAAAAATCTGACAAAATTTGGAGCTAAATTGATGAGTCAATTTCGATTTTATGGATTAAAATATACATAAATATTAGTTCTTACATAATAAGTACACTAATGCAGCGGTATTACACTAGTGCGTCGCAACCAGTTGCTAAGTGCGTCATAAAACTTAACAGAATTGTGTTAAACATAATTACAATAGATTCCTAACGCTTAGAACAATTCCCAAACCAGCAAGCCAATGTAATATCGCAAGCTGCATCTGCTGAACAGCGTTTGGTAAACATGGGTGATTTTTTTAGCATTTCGAAGAAAAATCAGACAAAGGGAGTTGAGCATTTGTCTTCATCCCCCAGACTAACATGTTTACTTTAAAAGTGATAAAAGTACACATTAATGATAACAAAATTTAATGGTAAACCCATGGGTTAGGGTTAGTATGGGTTCAAATATCCGTAAAACAACAAAAATTTCCATAGGTGCAATCAGTGGCGCAACCAGGCCGTTTTCAACGGGGGGTCCGACCGGAATTTACACAGTGCAACCACGACGTAAGTCGCAACGCCACTAGGTGTCGCCCCGCTGACCACGATAAATTGCTCATGGTTAAAAGGGAAACGCCATCGATTAAATCCCAGCCTTTCGCTTACCTTGCACTCGTTCATTAACGGCGCTTCGCTATGTCTTGCACCTCGTGGGTAGCAAAACGCCGTTCATTACATTCCAGCGAATTGCTAACGAAAAGCTGTTAATTATTTTCAACGTTTTCCTCGCTTTGCGCCTCGTGGATAGTGAAACACGGCTTGAATAAATTCCAGTGTTTCCCTCGTGCCGCGCCTTGCTCGTTGGGTGAATTCGTCAAGACTAAAAACAAAATGCACTTCTTGCGAATGGACCTTTTCCCGACCCTAACCCCGGAAAAATTCTAAACTAAACTGAAGCTCACCGGAAGACATAATGACAATTAAAATAATTGATTTACAACTAATTTTTGGAAACACAACTAAAAACTGACTAATTTAATGCAGGGATGTCCAAATCGAATTTAAATTCAAATATCGCAAACTTCAAATACTGTTTTTTCGTGTTTATAATAATCCCAAATATGGCGCACATATCCTAGGCGTCGTCGTCCATGTGTGGTTCGGCAATATATTACAGCTGACATGAAAGAATTTCGATAAACGCCGACTTGAAGAACTTATAAGACTTCGAGGACGTTTTTGATTGAAAATATTTTCTTATCGGGTATTTTAACTTAGTCGAGATGGTTTAGGCGTCCTCGGCAAATTGTGTCTTAATTAGTTGTTTTCATCCTCAGTTTCGATAGTGACCGAACATAACAGGAAATTTTTTCATTTCTTCTAATTTAGCGCGTATAAAATAGCTCTTAAATAGTATTTAATATCTATCGCGGATTTCGTCGGCATCCGGCATTGATAACAACATCAGTTCAGTTAAAGTTAGCGGTATTCATTTACAAACAAAAATACATAACAGCCGACATGAAATATTCAAATCAGCGCAGAATTCAATAATAAAACACGTTTTATGGTCTTAATATGCACATAGAAAGAAGAAAGGACAGAGAAATAACGACTAAAAACTAAGAACGGTATGGTATGTTTGTGTACTTTTGTTTACCATCGTCATCATAATCAAATTAGTTAAACCCGATTCCCAAATTTCCGTCCGCCAATAATGGAGAATGAAGATGGAAAAACGTGTTTTACTTTTTGAGTCAGCGTTGATTTAAATTTTTCATGTTATGTGTTATAATTTTTTGATTATAAACCAATACCTCCAACTTAAAATGAACGATATTGTTATCAACGACGTCAGGACTCGGGATAACGATAAAATCTCCGATAGAAACCAAATAATATTTAGAAGCTATTTTATAGATTGCAAGAAATTAAAAAATTTGACTAAATTGAAATATACGATAACAAATGTAAAAAATTTTCAACCAAAAACGTCCTCGACGTCTTATAAGCACTTCAAGTCAGAGTTTATTGAAAACCTTTCACGACGACTGTTAGTTATTGCCGTGCCACACATGGCTGCTTTCGATTGCGATAAAAAATGAAATAATTGTGGAATGTTTTTAAATCAGAACGTGGACGGGGCGGTAGGATGTTTACGGCGTTTTCGGTTTTCGGCCTTTCATATGTAGAAAATCTTAGGTTATTCGAAGCAATATTTTTCCGAAAATAATTTTCGTATCCAGATTTTCAGAGTTTCTACTGCATTATTATAACATGAAGACGGGCGGCGTTACATTGCGTCAAGATGATGAAGCACGAGAGTATTCGTCACAAGAGAGAGAGAGAGATAGCATTATGCTATTGTCGCTTTCAATTCGCATCGACAGCGCGCGATTTCTACTTTTTTGAGATAACATATCTCATTTTCGAATACAAACATATACGCGGGGTTAGCGATTATTACGTAACTATCAGCAAAAAGGTATGATTGAAGTCGGGCGGTGTTAAATTACCTCGAGGTGATAAAGCACTGAAAAAAAGTAGTTTTCACCGGATTGTTATGACCGTGGAACGACGTTGTTTTAACATAGAACAATAATAAAAAAAAAAAAACGAAATTCAAACGGGGGGGACACGACCCCCGTAACCCCCCCGCTGGTTGCGCCACTGGGTGCAATAGTATGCCGGTGCAATCGTCGTGGGTTCAAATGTACGTGGGTTCAAATGTAATGGAACCAAATTTAATATAAAAACAATATTTTATAGTGTGAGTGCACTGTGAACCTTTCCCCCCCGATAATTTGGCATCGCCTGAACAAAAATTTTGGGAACCGCTGCACTAATGCATATTCTTGTACAAAAAATATATATATCTAGAGTCATTCATTTTATCCACCTTTGAGTGTGTGAATTTTTATCTTTAATAACAACAGAGTCTGTAATTTTTCCGTATTGCGCAAAATAATCTTTTAAACTTTCATCGGTCGTATCCCATGATATTCCTCCAACAAATAATTTTCTACTTTGTTCCTCTTCGTTACCAAACCGCCTTCCACCGCCTCCGCCTCGTCCACCACCTCGTCCCTGAAACGAGAGAAAGATAATTTTATAGAAAATTTTTATGTCTGAAGAGTGAAGTAGATGTCAGGCTATTCAGATTTCTAGGATTACAGGTTTAGGCTTCTTGCTTTCCAAACAAAGCTGAATGCCAGTGACCTTCAAAGAAAATAGGGCACAGTTTACAAATTCCAAAAATGTTCCGTCATTTGGTTCAATAAAACAATTATGTCTTACAAACGAGGGGCGTCTGGAACGACGACGGATGTGTCAGACGCGCCATGCTTGTCTCGATAATATTCTAAATTAATCGTGGCCCTCTTGTGACCAAAATTGTTGTTTTTTGCTAATAACTCTCGAATGCAACGGTAGGGTGGCTTACCCACTTTGCGGCCACGACCTATTTGCGACCATCAACTTCATCGATTAAATTAATGCCGAAAAAATTAACGAACCGCGGCGATATTTCTCACGCGTTATCGTCCACTCATCCCTCGTAGCTCTGCGAAATTACACTAAAATGCAGCCACAAACAAAAAAGTTACGGCCGAAAACCCGACCGAAGAAAAAAAACGGACCATTTTTCCTACCCAACTACCCATTGTTCCTTTAAAAAAGCTTGAAAATCCATACAAATATAGGAGATAAAGAGATGAAACTTGGCAGGAGGGTAGAGTTGTGTTTCTTTTAACCATATTTAAAGTTTCGCTTTTCTACATATAAAGGAGGGGGAATAGGGGGTGTGCATTTCCGATACGTCGATAACATCTTTGTCGACCAATTTGCGACCACCGTGTTTGTCTGTTTGATTGCTGTGATGCTTTGCTTTGTTTATAATTAGCCAAATTTTGTTCGAAATAACCGTGTCCTTGAAATATATGACGGTCAGAAATGCAATAAGAAGCCCATTTTTTTTTAAGCATGGCTGCGTATGCCCTGGTCTCGGCGCAGCAGAAAAGATGTTCAAGGCTTGAAATCCGTGGTCGCACACTGGTCGCAAACACGTCTTCAGAGTGTCGTACTTTGGTGGTTTATATAGCTTTAACCCCTGGTCGTAGAAAGTTAATTCGAGGTTTAGCGTGTAGAATAAATGACAATGCACCTACGGTGAAAAAATTAACGGGTTAGAAATATTGGTTTTTGTTTTATAGCAGTTTGAATGAAATTGTCTGCAGACTGGCTACACCACCCTAGAATTTTTTTTCCTTCAGTAAATCGGATTATTCGTTCCAAGAGGAATTCAATCACATATTTAGATTGCGCTTCTTTTTAGTTTTATTGCGCAACTTCATTTTACCAATACAGAGACAACAATGTCCAGACGTCCCCAAAAAGAGGGGTCTGTTCATCTGCAAAATGGGATTCTCTGAAACGAGACAATGTCGCTCGATCTGTAAAGTGTGCCATACTGCAAACCTGAAAGCCAGAGACCTTCTGACCTTTCAGCCTTTAACAAGTGCAATTTTAAGTATTCTATGGCGTCTGCAGCTGCCGCAAAACCATGGCGGTATTTCCATACCATGGCCCCTCAGGCCAAACCTATGGCGACTGACTTTTTAGCTGCCACAAACCAATGTCGAGCTGCCGTTACCGCGGCAGCAAATTGAAAACCAATGGCAGGTAAAATTTTGCTGCCGTAACCGCGGCAGGTGGGCCGTAAGGACAAGGCTGTCCCTTATGGTGACAAATATTGGGTAAGTTGGAACGTTTGTCTTATGGATACAGTCTTGATGGATTTGGGGTTACAGTACGGCACACTATCCCGAATCCGGATTTGCGTCTACATTCCGGAAGACCCAAAATATGAATAGGTGTCTGTGAAACCGGGGGCATCGAGTCGCCTGCGAGCTCGATGCGTGAGAACGTCAGATGTCTGGATATGACGTCAAAGAAAGTCACGCACAGATCGGCAGTTCGGCACGGCTCTCGAATTTTGCTAATTTGATTTTCGTTTTTTACCGATGTATACTGACCTATATGGTTAGATATACGATGTATTTCTGAATCATTATATTCAGTCTACTGTTGGTAGTGCCTAATTAAAATAATGTCGCGTAAATGCAAACGTCTGTGAATAAAATAATTACTTTTAAATAATATCAAGAGATTACAAAATTATGCGTTTCGATTAATACGTCTACGAGTCCAACTAATTTTATTATAAGTGTTTGTGACTACATGACATCGTTTGAATTGTCGTATAACAAAGTGAAGACGATGCACGATATCGAAGTTTTTTTTTTCAATAGTTATCTTAATATCGATAGTGAAACTTTGTATGCCCGTTAATACCTGTAATTACAACAATTTAACATAGCATCTTCGGTTATTTAGAACTGAAACTTCCAGAACGCACAACGATTACGAATTACGATATCATTTAATAATTATATTCGAGATTTTTATTTAAATTTGAGCGTCAACAATCTATAGTAAAATAAAAGCCTCGATGATTAATTGGATTAAACTATTTTGCCAATTTGATTCTTGTTTTTCACAGACTACGCAAGTTGATCATTTGCGGCATACGAATGCATCAATGCGGCATTATATTAATTTGATTCTTGTTTTTCACCTATCTATTCTTGCATAAATCACGCAAATTAACATTTGCGGTATATGATTGCCTCGACGTGGCATTGAATTAAAATATTCTCGTATTCCGTATACTTCGAAGTTAAACATTCGCGACATATGAATGTATCGATGCCGCATTATATTAGTTTGAATCTTGTTTTTCATCGATCTATACTAGTATAAATTACGCAAATTGAACATTTGCGGCATATGAATACATCGATGCGGCATGATATTACATTATTTTGCTAATTTGATTCTTGTTTCTTGCCGATCTATTACTGTGTAAAATACACAAGTTGTTCATTTGCGGCATATGAATTAAATTATTTTCATATAGATTAACATTTGTGGCATATGAATGCCTCGATGTGGCATTGAATTAAATTATTCTCGTATACCATAACTTTCGAAGTTAAACATTTGCGGCATATGAATGTATCGATGGGACATTATATTATTTTGAATCTTTTTTTTTACCGATCTATACTAGTATAAATTATGCAAACTGAACATTTGCGGCATATGAATACATCGATGCGGCATGATATTACATTATTTTGCTAATTTGATTCTTGTTTCTTGCCGATCTATTATTGTGTAAATTACGCAAGTTGATCATTTGCGGCATATGAATTAAATTATTTTCGCATAGATTAACATTTGTGGCATATGAATGCCTCGATGTGGCATTGAATTAAATTATTCTCGTATACCGTAACTTTCGAAGTTAAACATTTGCGGCATATGAATGTATCGATGGGACATTATATTATTTTGAATCTTGTTTTTTACCGATCTATACTAGTATAAATTACGCAAGTTGATCATTTGCGGCATATGAATTAAATTATTTTCGTATAGATTAACATTTGTAGCATATGAATGCCTCGATGTGGCATTGAATTAAATTATTCTCGTATACCGTAACTTTCGAAGTTAAACATTCGCGACATATGAATGTATCGATGGGACATTATATTATTTTGAATCTTGTTTTTTACCAATCTATATTAGTATAAATTATGCAAACTGAACATTTGCGGCATATGAATACATCGATGTGGCATTATATTAAGTTATTTTGCTAATTCTATTCTCGTTTTTCGCCGATCTATTCTTGTATAAATTACGCAAGTTGCACATTTTGCGGCATGTGAATGTCTCGTTGCGGCATTAGATTAAATTATTGCTTTATGAACTAATTCATCTAATGCTATATCAAGGCATTAATTTTACTGTTTATCGATTGTGTGTTATCAAAATGTAATTTTTATTATCGCTGATCCATTTATTATCGTTAACACGCCATCCTATCTACATTGAAAATGAGAGAAACGCGGCACGCCAAGGTTTACGTCGAGGAACGGCCGATGCGTGCCTGCGTGCGTCGATTGAAATTCAGTGACGTCACACGCCGTCAATCGTTTTTTGCTCATTTCTCTCGAACGCACCGGTAAATTTTTTTTTACATCGGTAGATCTGATTATTTTTTCACGAGGAATTCAATGGTGATGGTTTTAGATTGCGCTTTTTGTTAGTTTACTGCGCAGCTTCAATTTATCGATATCGGGAGACAAAATCCGCCAGACGTCCATCGAAGGAGGGATATTCGATCACCGTTAAAATAGGTTTCTCTAAAACGAGAGATTGTCTCTCGATCTGTAAAGTGTGCCGTACTGACTGGTCAAACACTTCTTCAGAGTGTCGTACTTTGGTAGTTTATATAGCTTTAACCCCTGGTCGTAGAAAGTTAATTCGAGGTTTAGCGTGTAGAATAAATGCCGCCAATGCACCCACGGTGAAAAAATTAACGGGTTAGAAATATTGGTTTTTGTTTTATAGCAGTTTGAATGAAATTGTCTGCAGACTGACTACACCACCCTAGAAATTTTTTTCCTTCAGTAAATCGGATTCAGAGGAATTCAATCACGTATTTAGATTGCGCTTCTTTTTAGTTTTATTGTGCAACCTCATTTTACCAATATTGAGAGACATCAATGTCCAGACGTCCCCAAAAAGAGGGGTCTGTTCACCTGCAAAATGGGATTTTCTGAAACGAGACAATGTCGCTCGATCTGTAAAGTGTGCCGTACTGCAAATCTGAAAGCCAGAGACCTTCTGACCTTTCAGCCTTTAAAGAGCATTTCCAACAGACCTTTAAAATATTTCCTATCATTTGAAATAAGAAAACCAACAAACACCAGAATAGGTACTAGCAGATAAACGACCAACACTTTCCAGTCATTGTGAACACTTTTTTGCATTTATTCAATTTTATCTGGCGAAAGCCTGGAATTAACACATCTCTACATTTTGAATCTTGGGATTTCAAGTGCAGCAGTGTGTTACAGCTCAACTTGTCAACATAAAAATATAAACTACCGGGACCCGAAAACGGTAACGTTAAAACCACATCATCCAGCTACTGGTGTCGATAAGTAAAACTAAAAGGATAAATTGATAAACAAAAGACAGTAAATACCAAACAAAACATCGAAAAGTTCAGAAGAAATGAACGAAAATAACTTACCGACATGTTTATAAATTTTCTGAAAATGAGTCGAACCAGCCCGAAGGAAAGAGAAGTGCTGAATGAAACGCGTGATGAATATCAAACTCCCGGATGTTAAAAAGCGCTATAATGAAAACGAATTTTAAAAATTGCATTCAAGAAAACTGTATCCGCGTCGAATGAAACAGATATAAACAAATTTGAATGCTAATTTATACATTAAATATTTTTACATTTTTTGTAAATCCCTAATATTCAAAATTAGGGAAATTTCAAAAATTTTGATGACGTCACTCGCACGTTCAAACATTGCGGCGCGAAGCGTGATCCGCTGCCTTTTTTCCGTTTTCGCGCCTTACGCTCCCGGAGAAAAAATGGCCGCGCCGTGACGGGTTTTATATATTTTATTTTTACAATATTCATTCATAATTTGTAACTAATGACGTTTGTTTTGTTTTTAATATTTGAATAGCGTAGTATTACTGCGTAGTTTGACGTTGAACGCTGTTTTATTTTTTACACCGGGGAGCTACTTTGCCCAACCGTTGTTGCTTACTGCTGACTTGCAACAACTGACGACAGGACTATACACATACCTGCATACTTGCTGATAATTGTTTTACAGAATCTACCTCAAGTTTTATTGAGTTGGTAAGCATTATTCCGTATTTAGTAATCATTATGTTTTTAAAATCTTTTTGTTATGCAATTCAAAAATGCCCTCAAATTCTGAAATCAGAACTGCTGACTGCTTCTGTTCCTGGAGCTTTTCTGCAGACTGACAGAGGCAACTTTTCTAAATACAGAAAAGCGGTATTAATATCTTTTGCCTTTAGTTTGCTTCAGTTCCCTAATTTTAAACAATGTTATTCAGAAATTGTCCTTAGTCTACATTCAGTGCAAATTACTAAAGTGTGGTTTGCTTGAATAATTCATAAAATTTAATATTACTGTATTAGCAGAGCACTGGAACATTGGAATTTCACTGTTTGATTTTCGGGTTTTAATATTTTGTTTTCGTTTGACCACAGATTATAAATAGGTTATCAAAAAGACAAGGGAGACAAGTGCTCTGGCCTTGATATAATACAATTTTAATTCAACGAATGAAAGAATTAAAAAAAACAAATAAACTAGCTCATGATGATGAATATTTGCCTTCACTAATGTGATAATACCAATCTCTCCGACAAAATCATCACACACACAGTTGAGCACAGTTTTTCGATTCCAAGATGTCTTGACATTTGGTTTAATAAAACAAACACTCCATGTTTCTTTGAAATTAGGTCGCCTGGCACGACGACAGATGCGTCATTTCGAGTCACTTTGTCTCAGTAATAATTTAAATCAATCGCTACATGCATCGGCCGTCAAATGACCAAAATTTCTTTTTTTGCAAAAAACTCTCGAATGCTATGGGGAAATCTAGTCTCCTTTATTAAATCCAGTGGTGTTTATTTTAAGTGCCAGTTTGGTGTTTTAAGTAGCTATGAATTCCCAGGCTGCCAGACCGTTCATGAATGAGGGGTTTGCATTCACTGTTATAATTGTTGTCTTTATGTGTGGGGGCTATACTTGGAATTTGAGAACTGTGTCCTGACACAATACAGTAATATTAGTGGCATCTCACTACTTATTGAAAACAGAACAAAACGCAGAAAATGGCATGTGATAGGGAAAAAATGTGTGAAATATCCCTTCTTGTTTCGTGCTGCCTCTGTTTGTGCTTTATTACCTGTTTACACAGCTTTCTTTCTCATCGCTTTCTTGCTTTTTACAGTTAGTAAGACTAATGCTACTGTGTTTAAATCTTATTCCAAGGTCCAATTTGATTCAGAAATATCTGTTACTTAATTATTTTTCGTTTCAGAAATAATAAACATGGGAAAGAAAACTGCCAAGCCCCAAGAAGAAGTTCCCACTCCAATAGAAGAAGAGGAAGAAGAAGAAGTTTATGAGGTTGAAAAGGTTTTGGACAAAAGACTTGTCCGAGGAAAGACACAATATCTCATCAAATGGAAGGGATTTTCACTGTATGATATTTTGTATTTTTGAGAAAATTTCAAGTCCAGGGTTGAATAGCTTCAAATCATAATGCTTCTAGGGCAATAGCATATTCAAACTACGATAGGATTTATGCTTCTTGAAACTTGTTGACGAATTAATTTAGTTACCGTACATATGGTCAATAAATTGGTGTTGCAACAAATTGTTAGTCAATATAACAGTAGATCACAACTTTGTTCGGTGTCTGATTACCGGGGATTCGCGTTGATTGTTTCGTGAACATGGGGTACTTGACAGAAAAAAGGTTGAAAACCCCGATTTACATATTCATCTTGGGGAGAGAAAAGAAATAAGACGGCTTAATCATAAGACGAACCACAGCTCTCGTCCGGTTACTAGTTCATTGATGTTTTTTGTTAATAAACCAGTTGCAATTTTGTGGCGGTGCGACCTTAAACCCATGTAATTTAGGAATTGAACTTTTAATTATTCTTGATTATGGAATATTGAGTATATTTTTCTAAATAAATAACATTCAACAGAGAACATACAGGAACAAAAAAGCCTTTCCTAATTCAAAATTCGATTTTTTTGGATATCTCCATATCAGCGACACTTGGTTTACTTTTATGGTTCTCTCTGCTTTTGTGTTCGTGGATGTGGATTCGAATTTTTTTCCCATTTAAAATCAGCATTGCACAATCAGCAATGTTTTATGATTCGATGCAGAAGTAATATCTGTTTTGTCATTATATCAGTAAATTTCGAAACTATGGCTAAGAACTGTAGAAGACATATTGGTCGAAGTTTTATAAAAAGTGAAGTAAAGGTTTAAGATTATTCACAGTCATATTTGGGATGTCAGACTTCATTATGACACTCATGGTCCGAAGTGGCTGTTTGTTATGTGGCTGCATAGTCTGGATTTGCCATGTTTTTAAATAAGCTTGAGTAGTATTCTTGAAATTCCCATAATCCCATTTAAGACTTTTCGTTTGTGACTCCACAGAAAATTTAACAAAATTAACTTGTCTAAGCGTACACAGCAGTCTATTATAACAGTAAGCTTTCAAACGCCAAATTTATTTTTATCAAAATTTCCCTGGATTTTGTTGTAATCGTCTTGAATTTATACTGATTACAAACCAAAGTTGAAAAAGAATCATGTAAAATAGATCAGTCTACTAGATTAGAATCTTCTTCAATCAAAATTGAATTCTTTTTAATACCTGGGAACCACAAGACAATCTTGATTGCCCAGATCTCATGCAGAATACGAAACAAAATCTGCAAAAAAGAAAAACCTTCACAGAAATGTAAGTATTTGTTTTTTGTTGATAAATTTTTAGTTTTTTCTGTTCATTCGACTTGAAGAACTTCATGATGGCGTTATGGAGGTAACTGATTGTCCGCTGCTTTACACTAAGTTGTGTAATGGGACTGATTACGGGGGTCGGGTGTTATTCGCTTGGCTAACACAGACAGTCCCCAAACTCATAATAGAACTAAACTAAGGTAAATCAGAATAAAATTATGCCCCAACTTTACCACAGGAGTGTGTACCCAGATTTCTATATAGCCTAACATATTGAATACACACTTTTATTGCGAATTAGGGGACTAGCCAAGTGACTCCCGTAGTATTTGTACCTGAAATTATGGCCCAACCCAAATCTGGTACACCAAATCTTGGTTTACATACTTCGGGAGTACCAAAAAAATTTAGAACGTATTCCATTCTCAAAATATTATTGGACATAAAGAATATTTGGTGCAGTACAGGTACTGTAAATAAATTTGCATCGCTTGGCCTTTGTGATCATATATTTCAAGATTGCTTTTCTCGTTACTGAATGGAAAAGTATTCAATTATTTTCGGTCAATTTGCAATTGAATTATCAGGGTGTATCAGGACGTGGCCTTTTTAATATTCACACTTTTTTATTTTACAGCTGATGAAAAGAAACGTAAGCACTCACAAGCACAATCGGAAAAAAGCGAATCAAAAAAATCCAAGACAGAAAATGATGAAGTGAGACCTCATGGATTCGCTCGGGGACTCAAACCAGAAAAAATTATTGGCGCAACCGATTCCAGTGGCCAACTTATGTTTTTAATGAAATGGTAAGATTTGTATTGTAGCCCCTAGTACGGTACGATTTGGTTGTTGATTAGCCTCAAACTGACATGAAGCGGGCCAAATTCAATCTCGCCTGCCTGATGCTGCCACAACCAAACTAAAACCAAATTTTGATGTTTTAGCTAAAAAATAGGCCAAGGAATTTGTTGAGATTGTGATTAAATTTAGTCCTGGCACGAGGCTTATTGTTTTCCACTTTTGCTTTTGTAACACTGTAAATATTGTTCATAAATAAAACTTAAAACATTTAAAAAAAAACAGAAACGTGAATTTCGGTCAGAGGCCGAGGACTTGTCGATCGAAAGTTAGGGATCCCTCAAAACAGTGCTCTTACTCCATAGTGACACCTTGTGTCCCATCGCTAATTAATTAATAACTCTCTAATTATACAACATAATTCGCCCAAAATCAATAGGCTTCTGGTCCGAGATATGATGAATGCACATGCAAAATCTGGAGCAGATTCAATCTCGCTTTCGTGAGATATCACGTGCATCTAACAGACAGACATACAGACAAATACCTATCAACATACTTACCGATTAAAATCGATAAGTAATAAAATAAAAAAATTACATGACCCGCCAGTTATGGTGGACAGAATTTTTGGCCTGTGGCCCACTCCTGCCCTAGTATTTCAGTGCTAGAATTCGATGGAGCTTCTATCCCTCTACTTGGAGTTGGTAGTACATAGACTAGATGGGAGTTGTGGAGGCGTGGTTAGTTTAAGCAGAGGAGCGAATCATCTCATTCATTGCTTAATATTTGGCCTGGAGAGATGAGAAGTATCTTGCGACACGAAGTTCACAAATATATGTTCTTTTCTACAATAGTGTTTTTGGTATTGAAACTTTGGCATTTATTAGCTTACTCTGATAGATGGTTAATAACACTTAGTAAAGTAAGTGCTTTTAGTCTTTAAATTTGAGGTTTTGGCCATTGAAGGTCGTATCACCAACGAAGGTCGTAATTTTGACTAAGGGGGGTATTCAGAATTTCAACTATGTTGCTGAGGAATTTAAAAACACGACCCATACTCCAGTTATAAATACCATGTCAAACTAGGACTGCTCACATTAAATTGCGACTTACTGAATTCAAAATTTCTCGACGTAACTGAAAATAAATTCTGTAATTCGTAAATTCTAAAAATTATGTGCAAGCCTTGGAGGAAGATAATGTTTTTTTAAATGACCCGACATAAATGAAAATAAATTCTGGAATTTGTAAATCCGAAAGTTACATGCATGCCTAATCAGAATCTACTTTTGCTAAATAATCATCAGTCTTCAGGTCTTTGGGGGCGGGAGTCACCAGTTTGAGAAATCCGGTATGATGATTTTTTTTAACAAATATTTTTTCCCACCCATGGAAAGCTTAGTCCTTTCTATGTAAGCCAGTGCTCTTCAACAGGGGTTCCGAGGGTTCCGCAACACATACAGTGGGGTTTCGTGAGTTTATAGGGTTCCTTAGGGGTTCTGCTTTTTTTTCAGGAAAATCATTTCTTGCTTAAGCATTCAACAAGATTGCAAAGGAAATGCAAGAACAACCTAGTCATTGAATTTCACGCTTGTTACCTTCTTTCTGTTTCGTTGAAGTAGAAATATTTGAATTACTAATATTTCGTGTTACGAGTTTTTCGTATTTTTTTAATTTTGTTATTTGGGGTTCCATAAAAAACGAAAAATTATATCAGGGCTTCCACAACAACAAAAAGGTTGAAAAGCACTGATGTAAGCAGCAACTGTTCTTAGAATAATACTCTGGCCCTGGGGGCCTACGTCACCATTTCGAGAAATCTATCATGAATGTTTTTTTAAACAAATTTTTTTTCACACAGGGAAAGTAGCGATGAAGCCGACCTTGTGCCAGCAAAAGAAGCAAACGTGAATTGCCCTCAGATTGTCATTGGATTTTACGAAGAAAGGCTGACATGGCATACAAACCCTTCAGATGAGGCCCAAACTTGAACAACAGTTTTTTCACGACGAATCGTCGCTGAATAAAATATTAAGGAGTCTACAGCGTCGTTAATGGATATAAAAAAAGATTAGTTTTTAACTCTACTCTGCTGATGCAGTTTTTCAAGAAACTTTAGACGAATTTCATGAACTGTTTTTATCCGAGTGTTAAGAAATTGTATTTTGAGGATTCAAGCTATAAAGGCAAATGTTAAAATTAAAAAAAAATCAATTGAAAATATAACAAAAAAAGTGACGATTATTACCCTGGTATATGATCATTGTTAGAAGCAATATTCGACAAACTATTTCAATAAAAGTTAGAAAATTTAAAAATATAAAACATACATTTCCATCATTTTTTAAAAATAGCTTTTTAAAATTTCTCCTCTTTGGTTCAAAAACTTCGATTTAGTTTATTTTGCCGAATAGACTTATGCTGGGACAAGCACCGTTAGCCAAGCAAGGTATTAACAAATTATGAATACTGGGCCGAGAGGATTTTGATATCATTCACTATTTCTTTGGTATTTTTGTAATACATAGTGCTGTTTGAGAGAAAGTAGTGTTTGGTAGATCATTGATATGATTCATATTTCACACTTTATTGCATCAAGCAGCGTTTCTCAAACTTTTTTGCTCCTGAACACCTACGCTTTTTATCTCGCCTCGCGGAACAATAAGAAATGAAAAGGTTAAATTGATATTAAAAAAATTGGGTGCTCCCGAAGTATGTGCACCAAGATGACGCTCGACCTGAACATAGTATGTGTACCAGGTTAGGGTCATCAGGTTGTGCGCCATCTTGGTGCACATACTTCTGGCGCGCCAAAAATTGTGTAACGGATTTACTTAGTGCATCAACTTACACAACCAGCCTATTCAAGGGCACAAAACACCTCGAAGAAGCTCACAGAACATCAGTGTTTAAGGGAACACAGTTCGAGAAACAGTGAACTAGTGGAATAATTTACTAAATATTTTGTTATAACCAGATCTGGTTTGAAATATGATAGCTCTCGAAGCTTCATTTTGCAGTAGAGCTGGGCACGGTAGTTATCAATTTATCGACAACTTCAATGAAACATCAGCCTCGATGCATTTTCACGGCATTAGTAAGGCGCATAACCATAATAAGAGGTATTCAAATTTTTAAATCAGACTTTCAATTACACAAAGTTAATTTCAAACATATTTGTTAATTAGTGTTGGAAATTGAATAAATAAAAATTATAGCTGTAAAAGAACATGGGAAAAATCAATGTTTACAAGCTCGAAACATCAAACTTTTCGGTGGCTCCAGCCCTATATATTCTGGTAAGCTTGGCTCTCTACAGCTCTTGCAAAATGTTATGTCCGCAGCTCCCTGGTTATAACACACAATGAAGCATACTCACGCATTCATGGGTTTCGTATAGTTTCTGAAAATTTCACATTCGCGCCCATGTTGCAAAGATATAAATGGTTTTTAGTGCTTCAGCTATTGGTTGCAACTTTTCTGTTGAAATTATTACCACTTTTGAGTTGGAGGCATATCGCCTTGCTTTGAATAAACATGTATAAATCTTGTAATGTATTCATAGTGCCAATGAGTTTCCATTGTAGCTTTTCCTGATTAGATCTCTAAGATTCATATACAAACTGAAACAAATACTTAGTCTAGGGCGCTTGCCAGTTAAATATAAATCTTGACTGCTTGTCTGAAGCCTATTTTCGAGCTAAGGTGTTTATAATCAAAAATATGTAGCAGGTATTTCAGTTAGATTGTTTCATCATTTCTGGTAATATATCATTTATATGGTCCGATATTTCAGGATGACCCCCCAAAACAATGGAAAACGGATTCTAGAGGAACATAGCTTTTGGGTACAATCATACACAGAAGTGTTGAATAAATTTTTGTAGAAGAAATTGGAACTGTGTAGCAGACATTTCAGTTAGACACTTATCATTTTCTGGTATTGTATAGCCCAATATTTCAGGGTGACCCCCACACACACACAAGCGTCCCCCCGTGAAGCGTCCAAGGTTGACTGGAACTCTTGGGTACAATCATACGCAAACAGAAGTGTTGAATAAATTTCAATAAAAGTAATCGAAAAATTTTATGACTGAAAAGCGGACATTTCAGTTACATGGATTTATCATTTTTAGTATTATATGGTCATTCTGAACGTATTCTAGAGAAAACATAACTTTTGTTTGAAGCGTCCTAGGTTGACTGGAACTCTTGGGTACAATCATTCACAAACAGAAGTGTTGTTTAATTTCCTTCAGTTTCGTTGATGTAATTGAAAAATTTTGTGTGTTCTGTTTTTTGGGTCCCCTTTACTTTAATGTACTCAATCAACTGCCAAATTCTTAGATACACACTAAATTACAGTGCTGGAAAAAGTCTTCTATTTCTACTTTACACTTTGAGTTGTGCATATCAGTTTGATTTGCAAATTTCATTCCTTTTCAATGATCCGAACATGCTGAAGTTTTTGTATCATATATCCTCTCATGGCCATGATCAGCGTCAAAAAAAAGGCAGAGAAAATCATATGCAGGCGTGTACACTTATTATACCAATTATGTCTGCTTTTATATTAAAATGCTTGAAATTCATCATAAACCCTGACATAGGCTAGAACTCTGGTTCATATTTTAATGTTTCATTTTAAGTTTGAATTCTCAGGACATAAGGTAACTCTAATTAATACTTTTCGACTCAAAATTGGCATATTCTGTTCTAATTCATGTCTTTTTGCTGTAATCAAGTCAAATGTCCAGTGGTTGTATCCGTAATTTTGATCAGAAATGAGATTTCTCAACTTTCGAGTGAATTTTATAATGAGTTTGCTCCTTCACTTTCTGAGTTGTGCACACAACTTTACTCGGAGATGAGTGTGCTATATTTCTTTGTATGTGCCTGCAACTTTGCTCAAGGATTAGTCTCCATTACTTCTGAGTGTGGCTTTCCTGAGCAAATATCAAAAAAAATAAAATATATGACATAACTTAGTAATTTTTTGTAGTGTGCTTGTCTTTCATATAACGAGTACTAAATCGAATGAAGCCAACTTTTTAAATCATCTTACAGTTCTAGGCTTTTTGAAATGACTTTGAATTTACAGGTAAATGTTATTGGCATGAACGTTTTTAAAACTGTTTCTCTTCTATGGCCCAAGCATGGTTTATGATAAATTTCAAGTTCTTTATGCCGTTCATTTGGTTTAGTTTCTTGTTTGTAAATAAAAAACCAGTTTTGTGTAAGTTTTATTTTTTTTGTGAAAGACTGCTCAAGTTTGCAATAGGGAAATTTCCATCCAAACCCAGAACATCATGAATCCTATACTTTTTTTTTATCATTTACCTAGAACAGAGATTCTTAACTGGGGGCCACAGAGCATTTGAAGGGGGGATGTGGGGGCAAAACTGATATCACTTTACAAGAAACTCTCCATTCTTTCCAGCTCCATTTCTTGATGAGATCATTTCACAGGCTGTTTTTGAATTGTTGGGCATAATCGGATTTGGAATGTGAGAAGCAAAATACCACTGAAATGATAAACAGATGATGGGGCAAAAAAGGTCGGGAACCACTGACCTTGAGTTTTATTTATAGTATAGCAAGAATGCACCCCCTTTCCTATGCATACTTCAACAATTTGCATAAGGCAGGGCCGGATCAGGACTTTTAGCTGTCATAAACACAAAACTTTAGTTCCCAATATATGAAAAGTGATAACAATGCGATTGGTTTGCCATGTTATCTGAAAGCGAATAAGTAAATTTCGGTGTTCATCACATATCGGAGGCCAAGTTAGGATTAAATTACATGTTTTATTTAGAAATAGTTTAAACATTTATAGAAAGGTTTAGGACGATATTTGAAATAAAAAAAAATTAATTTCAACCGGACGAACATTACCAACTTTCATAACCTTTGACCAATGCTGCCAGCTACGTTTTTTGTGCTGTTTAGTGGGACGCTCGTTGCCGAGCACGGTGTGTCAGTTTTATACTTGTTGCTTTGACTTGTTTCAATATCTCGCTGTGTGTTAGCGTTTTTTCAAGACTTTTTCTCATTGTAGATTGTATACAGACTAGCTTGTATATCTGTTATACTTTTGAGCTGCTTTGTTACACAGTAGGCCTATACTTCCACACAAGGCAGACGGAGCTACTTCAAAAGTGATGGTACTGGCAGACTGGATTCCTATAGGCCAGTGTTTCTCAAACTGTGTGCCGCGGCACACTAGTGTGCTGTGAGAGATTCTCAGGTGTGCCGCAAAGCTTTTTGGAATTTTAGAAAATAAGCTTTTCATATTACACATAGGCATGCATGCAACGGGGGAGACTTCAGTGCGCATTATCCATTGTTAGACTGATAACATCATTGCATTTGCCTTGTCGTTGTAGTAAGGGTAATTGCCACGCTATAATTGTTATGTTGTTATGTATATTCAAACAAGACGTTCATCTTTCACTATGTTGACTTCCGCGCCTAGTTGGGTTAACAGGAAAGCAAGTTTGTACAAGTTTTGACTGTGCAAAATTCATCGAAGTAATCTGGCCATTTGCATCTCCATAGCTCTGTGAAAACGTTTTTTTTTTGTGCTCTGACTGAAATTAAAAGCAAAAAAGGGAGCGATGGAACCTCGTTTCAATTGTTTCTCAAAACAGACACACACATCGAATCAACACCTGCAGAATAAGTTTGTTACTTTATTTTTTACAAGTGTGCCGCAATTTTTATTTTATTTGCCTAGTGCGCCGCGAGCAAAAAAAGTTTGACAACCACTGCTATAGGTAATGGATTTTCTCATTGCACTGGCGTACACCGAGCACGATTTGTCTTATATTTGGGAGGTAAACTTTCCAGAGGAGAAGAATTACACACCTAAGAGTTATCCACGAAATGAAGTACTTTGCAAACTAAGAGTAATGAACTGCAAAAGAATGTAACTATATGGAGGGAGAAAGCAGCTATCAGAAAAAGGAAATTTCACTCTTGATTAAGTACCAAGCATGTCCTCATAAGAAGATTACAATTGAAAGTTTTGAAAAGTTTCCGCATTTATAACTTGCGATAAAATGATCAAATTTGTTAAAATTCCTATTTAAGTCTCCTTATGAGTATCTATATGCACTAAAAATCAACTATCGCATTATTTATAAATGTATTATGAACCTTTTTTTTGCAATTTAATACTAAAATAGTCAAATTTTATTTTCAATGCGTCGTGATTTGTATTACAGAAGGAAAATGCGTCGTGACTTACCATAATACTCAGATTCGACAAAAAAGCATCGATTAAATAAAAGGGCAAACATAACAAAATATATACACAACATGAACACGGACACGATGTTCCGTGAAACAAGGCAATAATGTCGGATGTTTTTTAGAATCGGGGATTCTCAGTTATATTATTTTGATGCAATGCTGTTCTAGCAGTTTTAGCTAGATTTTTTTTAAAGGAGAATTCAGGGAGACTCTTTTTTGACATACTATATCAAATTTCTTTGGACTGTAGCCAATCGAAAAAACTCCTTCATCAAATGACGGTAATGGTTTGTCTTTACTTGCACTGATCTTAAACCTTTGGAGCAAAGTTGTGAAGAATAAAAACACTTCCATCCTTGCAATGTGTTCTCCAATGCAATGACGATTTCCAATAGAAAACGGAATCACATCATCACAAGGAATAAAACCGCCATTTTCATCGATGAATCTTTCAGGTCGAAACTTGTTTGGGTTTTCGAATGTCTTTGGATCACGATGAGCCGCCCAAATGTTTGGTGTAATCTACATAAATTAAAAATCAATGCATAAAAAAATTCCGCTGGCTAAACGACTTCAATAAAAAAAAATGGGGATTTCACCTCGACCATCGGCGGAAGAAACAAGGGTACTCCCGAAGTATGTGAACCAAAATGGCGGACACCGGAACGTAGTATGTGTAACAGGCTAGGGTTAGGCCATAATTTCAAGTACAAAACTACGGGAGTCACTTGGCTAGTCCCCGAACTTGTAATAGAACTAAAATGAGGAAAATTAAAAATCCAGTTATAACCTAAGTAACCCTAATCTGGTACACATTCTACGTTCCGGTGTCCGCCATCTTGGTTCACAAACTTCGGGAGTACCAAAACAAGATGGCGGCGATTCAAAATTTTGCTCTGAACGTATTCGAAAAATTTACTATTCGATCCCAATAATCGATTTGAAATGCCCAGACTTCGTATAAATTGCATGTAAATAATTATTCCATCATCGAAAGAACGTTTACTTCTTACCATCGTATTTTTTGGTATCTTGAAATTTCCGATGCGGATTTCAGATGTGGTTTCGTGGGCAATAGCAAGCGGTAATGTTGGTCGATACCGAAATATTTCTTGAATAAATGCGCGAGTGTATGGCATTTTCTCCTGGTGCTTCATAGCTACTTTTCTTCAGTACCTAAAGATAAAATATTTTGTTTAAATTTGTTTTTGTTTTATAAGAAATACAAAGCACTTTGCAAAATGTAATTCTATGTTGAACTTTAGAAAATATTTCACTCAAATGTGATAAAAAGACAATTTTAAATTATTGTATTGAAGTCAGTTAGTTGCATAACTTCACTTAAATTTTTAAAACTTACCTACAACATCATGTAGTTCTTTTGCAATCTTTTCCTGACAATAAGGATAATGCAATATTGCCAAAATGCACCAACGTATGACACTTGTGGTTGTTTCTGTTGCTGCTGCAACTAAATCTATAACTGTTGCCACCAATTCAACATTCTATATCGAAAACAATTAAGATGAATAAACATACTCGAACAGTTTTTACAATAACCTAAATACCCTCCAACATGGGAAATAGACATCAATGAAACCGGTCAAATGCGGGCACAGCAGTCCTAAGTCCTGAGTTCAATCAATGATTTAATTTATTATCATCCTGAAAGCACACCAGGTATATAAATATCAATAAATTAGGAAAAATGCATTTTAGGGTGAGGGGAGCCGCGGAAAACCAATATTGGTCATCGAGCAGCACTAAGAGAGTTTAATGAGAAAACAAGATAGCAATGGTCGAATATAAGTCGACTGGTATCTCTCTCCGAGATAACATGGAAAGCATACCACGTCCTAGAGTTTATGAATTACGGTTCATAGAGAGAAATTAAATAAAAATTCCACTGAAGAGGCTGACCGACCGTAAAATCAGGCACGGCTCCCTTGTTGACTTCTGCAAGTGAGTAATCAATAAAATCTTTACAATTTTCCTCATCATAGTCGCCTCGATGTTCGGCAATAATGTTTTCAACAGCTCCTGCAAATATAGCTTCCACATATACGGGGTGTCCATAAAGTCCTTTTACAATTTCAATTTTGTTATGAAGTCAGTCCTCAATATATCTTAACCAGGTTTGTTGTTTTTTTAATCAGTAATTGTTTAGGTATTTTTACTTATACTGCCCTAGAATTATAGTCTATAGAGCACATCTTACCTTGAAGAACTTTGATATGAGAAATAAACTTTCCATAGGATTGTTTCAAGAACGGAAAATGTCTCATAAAAGGAGCAATTATCAGAATTCCTAATACAGTACCAAAGTTATCATCCGTCAAACTGAAATATAATAACATAATGTTTGGAAAATATTTATATCTTTTTAATCACATATGTATTTGAGCAAAAAATCAACATAGGTGTAGCCAAAGGGCTGAGGGGTGCCATCACTGCCATGTCGCCTGTATACCTCGGTGACCTCTACAAAGATGTAAGTCTGTAAAGCTATTCTTTACGATATTGTAGATATCAGTTGCTACTATAATCTGACTTTGTCTTGAGAAAACGGCACAAGTGAGCGTCGCATTACGTCATTATACAAACGAAAAATCCCCCCCCCCAAAAAAAAAATGAGACTATACCTTACTTTAACACAGGTTGAAGTAGAATATTGAATCGTTTGTCATCATATGGAAATCTTGATCCGAATGTAATACGAAATATGACGTTGGCAATGGCTTTCGTATGGAAACCCTTCAAAATCAAATTTAAAATTATGTATTGATTGATGAAAGTTTACGTCAGTAAATAAATAATCAAAATATGCAAGCAGATAGAGTTGAGGGATGGAAAAGGGTAATGGACCAGGGGCCAACAATTTAGCTCACCTAGACCGCGGCTACACAACTGGCGGATCACGGTCCGAATCCGGACTTTCCGAATATTTGGATCGGACCGCACCTAATTCTTTATTTTGTATCATTAGCCCCACTTTTTAAGTTTCATTTTATAAAACGACTTTTATTGTTTTGAATATATATGAAAAGAACTATAACACCAAAATAAACGATCTCGATTAGCTAATATTCATTAGTCGGCCGGGGTTGCGCGCGTTTAAGGACACCGAAATATAATTTCTGAAAACACCGGATCCAAATAATTTTAAAATTTGTACGCGGATCTTCCGTAAAAATATTTGTGGCGCGGCGGTGTGGCTCAGCGGGCTTAGCGTTAGGAATACGCTGGCCACCGCACCTCTAATTACTCTGCGTGGGTTCGCCGGTTCGAATCCCATGCAGGGATGGTTACGTGCGAGAGGATTGCTGGACTCCTCGCCGTCGTTGGGTGGTTCACGTAACCGCTGGTCGGTTACGGCTTCCTCCACCACCAAGTCCATGCTTCCGAAAACAAATAATACAGTAAAACTAATCCCATACCCGACTTGGAATGGTAACCGGACGAGAGGCCGTGGTTCGCCATATGGATAAGCCGTCTTATCGGCTTTCCTCTCCCCCGAGATAAATATGTAAACCTTATCCTATCCTAGCCTTGATCTAGACCATGTAGGTATGACTTAAAAAGTTACATTTTATGAACAGAATGGCAAGAATGCGTTATCTACTGATCTATGAACACAAAAGTAAAATATGAACAAGAAAGAATGAAAAATTGTGGCAACCTAAAATACAATTTACACAGGTTCTCAAATTGAGGGTCCGAAAAGAATATCAGGGGGGCCGCAAGAACCTTTAGTTTTTACGTTATAAGCTAAGGTTGTCATTTTGCATCTTCTTTTTCTTGTGAAATAATCGCCCTGTAATAATCGTTGTTTGACTACAGAATTAAATGCTTCAAGATTTTTGCTGATAACAGATTGTTATTGTCGTTAGAAGGCTATTACTTTTACTTATTTTGAAAAATTCTCTATGGAATTCGTTTAACAGTTAAAATTTTTGTGTGATGACGTTTCTGCGCCGTGGTTCCGTGACCGCATCTTAGCGGTCTCGTCAAACTACCGGTACTGTAAAGTTTCGTATTCATTCCGTCAGCAGCAAAACAGCTATACAGCAAAAATGCGACGAAGACTTATCCCAATTTAGGCCGTTCTTATCAAAAAATGTTGACATTTTTTCCATTACATCGGCATTTTTTGCATTAGTTTTTAAAAGAGTGCAAAATAAAAATTTAGTTTTGATATCATCATGAATATATCGCACACATCAAGTAGTTGTGAGCACACCGACACTGCATTCAAAATCATTATCCTCTTCGTCTCCGCTTACTCATGTGAACGTGATATTTATACACTCAAGTTCAAATTAGGACGAAAGCAAGGAACAAACTTGATGTGCAAGATCACATGAGACAAGAGAGCTATGCTCAAATATAGGAACACGTAGAGTCACATAATTTTGATGACGTCATAGCGAAAAAAAAAGTAATAGCCTTCTGGAGAAATTTTTTATCTTTAGCCACTGAAAATTTCAAAGCAATTGGTCCAGTATTCGAAGAGAAAAGCGACTTTTTAAAAACGTGTCAAAGAACAACAACAACAACATAATATTGAAACGATCGTTATGTCCACTACGTGTCCAATAAATCAGTAAGCTATTTTTGTTGCGTATGAGGAGTGGCAGCTAATATAAACGTCGTCTGAAAACCACTATGCTATGTTCTTCTATCGTGTTTGTTTGGTTTGAAAATTTTGGGGGTCCGCGGATACCTTAGAGAAGCATAGGGGGTACCACCATACCTATTTCAATAACAACAACTATGTAAGGCAGGGGTGTGTAACCTATGACACTCGGGCCAAATGCGGCCCTCGAGGAAAACTTGTATGACCCGAGGAGGAGTGCCAATTTTGAATGATGTGCGGTCCGCGAAACGAGTTTTTAATTTTGTTTGGTACGTGTGAGTAATTCTAATCCCTTTGCGTCGCGAAGCCTATACATATACCTATCAATTTATCATCTATGCCTATGACTTTACAATGCTTAACAGCTTGTGCAAACGCATGTTACAAGGTCAATAACCAAAATTATTGTGCATGCAACTACTAGATAGCTTATGTCCTATAAAGGCCGTAGTTTGCTCATGTCAGTGTTAGACCATTTCAACAAAGGGGATCAAGGTATAAAAACCCTTCAACTTCTTTATGTCCTCACGCGAACATCCAAATCTGCTCCAAGTTTCTCTTGTATTGATTCACACAGATAATTTGCTTCTTCCGAGATATGTTCTTCTATAATTCGTTTATTGAAACTATACAAAATCAAAAATATTTTTCAAATAAAGTCGACAGCAGTTGCGATCAGATATCTCAAAATTATTGGGCCTATCACAAAAAATCCTAAAGAATTTATTTGAAACGCAGAGAGGGCCAAAGTCCTTTACTATTTCATTACAACCAATTCAAATAATTCTATGACAATTTTTTGATGAAAATGTTGAAAAATGAGTCATTGGAATGCAAACTGCTTCCATTTCACATTTTTAATATTTGGCAATATGGGCTATTTAATTGTCAAGTAATCAATCAAATCAGAAAATGTATTCCAATCCATATTCACGTGTTACTGCTGTCTTATATAGTTAAAATACAATAATCGAAACAATATGCAAAAACTCTTCTCGCAGAAAAAGTAAAAATGGAGAAAAATAATAGAAATCTAACTTGTTTAAAATCCGAACTGCTAATGTTCGGCTAGTTTTCCATATTTTGCCGTTGGTCATTGTTATTCCATTAGCAGCTATGTCAAGCATAATTCGATTCATTGGACGAGCAGACGTCAGTCTTCCTTGTTTTGAGAAAGCCTTCAAAAAATAAAATACAATAACAAGCAGGTAGGCGACAAGGATCTTCGCTGATAGTGGAGGCCCACACGCGAGTAACCGGTTAGTAAACGGGTTACCGATACTGCCAATTTATTATCGAGTACTGCACGTTTTGTAGACATTCTTGCGTGAGTGTTATACTGTAGCTAACAATTGAAATAATGTTCTCTAGAATTCTTAAGGCTTTCCCGGTTTATAGAGTATCGACACAAAAGTCTGGGAATTTCAATTTTCGACTTAGTTGACAAGTAAACCGTGATAAATTACAAGAAAACTAGAAATTTTTATAACGAGGACGCGTATTTTTGCTGTTGTCATGGAAATGAAACTTCAATTCAGACTTTTAATGGAACATACATTACTAGGGTGACAGGATAACCCACGTGAGTTGGCATTCACAAACAGGTTCACATGTTCAAAACCATGATTTTATCCAGAACAATAAACCACGTGCCGCTTACAGGCACTAAAAGCTAATTTTATACTAGTATATCGAAGCGTTTGCGATATCAAATTCTGATTATTGTAACTAAACTAAAGGTCCCCAGAAAACCTAACAAGTATGGTATTTGATTTACAACTATCAGAATATCAAACAATAAAATACTCTACCTCGCGAATTGACCACCGATTGTTCAATATCACGCAATACTTCATACCGATTTGAATCGAAAAAACAGGGCCATATTTTTGTGATAATCGACAATAAGTAACAGCTGGATTTCGTTCCAAAAACGGCAAATATCCGACTACAGGTAATCCTGATGGCCCCGGCGGGAAGTGCTCAAGTCTTCTCCTTCTTCCGAGATAAACAAGAAAAATAAACAGTAGGACCGTACAAAAAATTGTTAACATATTGCTAAAAATTAGATAAATTTCGATCATTATTCGTGCACAAATATATTTCTGTAACGTTTCATCTGACCTAAGTCAGACGATACGTTACAAAAATACATTTGTATTAGTGTGCAGCAAGACTCTTCAATCACTTAGAACAGGGTGGTCCAAAGTTGTCGGCTGCGCGGGCCACAAAATTATTATTGCATTGTTCGCTGGCCACAATAGTGCCAAGAATAGGTAAACAGTGCAATATAAAACAAACTGCTTTATTGTGCAAACACATAGTTATCGAGCATAGCCATTCTAGACTAATAGAATCTGCATTTTTAGTTTTCTATGATGCCTATATTGTTTGCATATATTCCCGACCAAAAAGTTAGAAAACCAGATAACAATTTAGACCGCCAAGCACATCATTCAACTTCGCTAGTTTCCCCAGCTAGTCATACCACTATTCAATTCAGTGACAATAGTGATGACGATACGTCAAAAGATTTTTCTGATTAATTTTATGACGAAGCAACACGAAATGCGATTTTTTGATTACTCTCCGAGTGTGATGCGGGCCACAGATAATGAAGCGGCGGGCCACATGTGGCCCGCGGGCCTGGGTTTGGACCACCCTGACTTAGAATATTTATTTTCACTCTACAGCATCCTCATGTGCATACTCATTCACTGGCGCAAAAGCATAGAAGAAGGATAAGTAGTTAGTCCTGGAGAAACCGATCTTTTACCGCTATTATGAAACTTTTGATGCCATTTTAGTATTTCATGTTGGACTCATCATCTAAAAAATCTAGATCATTATATTTGTGTTAGTGTGACCAAGACATTTCAATCACTTAGGTTAGTTATTTTTACTCTTGCTACAGCATCCTTGCATTATATGCATACAGATCCACCCGAACAAAGGCATAGATAGTAAGTCCCACAGAAACCAAATTATTAGCGCAAATATGAAACGTTTGATGCCATTTTAGACTGATCACCTGAAAAACTTTTATCAAACTAATAAGAATCACTTTTGCGCAAATTTTGAAGTCAATTGTTGAAATACGCCGCGTTTCAACGTTAGCCTCGACCTAAATTATGTTGCAGATACGCCAGTGAACATTTGACTCTCAGGCCAACTTTTTACGCACGATTGTAACAAGTACAGACGATTATTCCTTCTATAAATATACATTGAACATGAATTCAACTTGAGGTAATCAATCATATATGCATGACAAAGGCCAGAATCAGATTTTTGCAGAATCATTCAATCAATAAATGCAAGTTTTTCCAACTTGGCCTACAAGCCCTAATATTGGTGGATGTCAGTGGAACAAACTTTATTGCGCTTAAATCACTTACGTCGATCACTCAAATTGTCAGGGGAATTTAACAATAATAAATTAGACACTAGACGATTTTTATTCCAAAAATGAGAGATTTTATTTATAAGATTTGGTGTTTTGTCAACTGCACGTCAACTCAAAACACTAACCAGATCTCACAATGCTTTTTTCCTCTGAACTTGTAGACCAGTGGTTGCCAACTTTTTATGACTTGTGGCACCCATCCATAGAATTTTGCACCGATGGCCTCCCTGTTTATCATTCCAGACTTATTTATAGTGTCATTTTTATTGGTAGATTGTGAATCTCATTATGTTCAAACAATTCATGTACAATAAAGTGAAAACACCGTGTAAAATAACCGCAAGCAATGAAACTAAGAAGAACTGCGAGTTTTCATGAAAGATAAATGTAGAAGCAGTTCTGCGTCTAACAATGCTGGTTTTAGACATATAATTTTATAAGCGCCAACACTCTCAAAATAAGCATAAACAATTTTACAACAGTGAAGAACAAGAAGAATTGTTCTGAGGTCAAGGGTCAGCGAAACGTCCATTCGTCAACGAGAACAGCCTCATCCTCTACAAAATAAGACAGCGATGCTTAAGTATTTTAACACGAGGTCTAAAGAAATATCCTTTTCGTAAGCACCTACCGGTATCAGATAATCTTTTAGTTTCGCGTATTTCCGTGTAAAACCGGAAAAGTTCGCCACACTTGCCAGATTAAAATCCTTGTGTTCCCATAAATAAATTAAAAATTTCTATAATATATCAGATGTCATAAAGAATTAAAAAAAAAACGACGCGATACCCTTCTAATAAAGGGACATGAAATCAAATGCGCCGCAGTGCGGGTGCAATATGTCCCAGTAGACTACCGTTGCCAGATTTTACGATGTCATAAAAAGTGAGAGACATCTATACGGATGTCATAAAAACGTGTACAAGTATAATATCAAGTCCATGCTCCCAAAAACAAATAACTAACTAATCCCATACCCGACCAGGAATGGTAACCGGACGAGAGGTCGTACTTTGCTTTAGGGTTAAGCCGTCTTATCGGCTTTTGCGCCTCAGATTCTTCTTTATTATTTCCACGCCGTACTCGCTTTAAACTTCGACACCACTGTCCCATGCGCCTAGAAACAAGATAGCTATGCTCAAATATATGAACACGTAGCATCACATAATTTTGATGACGTCATAGCAAAAAATAAAAGTAATAGCCCTCCAGCAAAAAATATAATCTTCACTCACTGAAAATTTCAAAGCAATGGACCTTTCCCCGAGCATCGACTTCCTTGTGTACTTCGTGACATTGGCCAATCAGTAAGATGCAAAAAGTAATGTAACAATGACGTGTCAAAGAACAACAATAACATAATATTGAAACGATCGTTATGTCCACTACGTTTTCAATAAAGTCTAAATTTCAACAAAACTGCTGTAAATGTTTTAACTAACCTAATTGTTAAAAATGTCGATTTAGCTATACATTAAGTGCTGATAAGGATGATTTTATACGCAAGGCTTCTTTAGTTACTTCAAATGTTATTTTCTGTTTGTGTAAAAAGTAATAAAATGTATTTTATCTCACAAAATCCCATATTTTTGGACACGGAATGTACCCATGGATTGTTACTTATCGATCTTAAGATCGGTAAGTATGTTGATAGGTATTTGTCTGTCTGTCTGTGTGTTAGATGCACGCGATATCTCACGGAAGCGAGTTGAATCTGCTCCAAATTTTGCATGTGCATTCATCATAGCTCGGAACAGAAGCCCATTGATTTTGGATGGATTATGTCTTATAATTAGCGAGTTATTAATTAATTAGTGATGGGACACACGGTATCACAATGGAGTAAGACCACTGTTTCGGGGGGTCCCCTAACCTTCGATCGATAAGTCTTCGGTTTCTAACCGATATTTTAGGTTTGTTATTATTATTTTGTTGTTCCTTCCATTTTCTTGTTATGAAAAAATCGTTTTCATTCACCATTGGACCAATTGCTTTTCAATGGTTAAAGAGAGTTATTTTTCGCTTAAAGGCCATTCATTACTTTTTTAGTTATCATTCTAATCTGTACCGAGACATGGCCACACAATCAGTGGCGTGCCTAGAGGGGGGCGAAAGGGCTGGGCAGCACATTGTACTGAGGCAGCAGAACCAAGTTGTAGAGTTTGGGTTATTACACATGCTCTTCTAGATGTGTTTTTATTTAATTAAATGCTAACATTATGTTATCTGTGGTGATGGTTATTGAACAAGGGTTGTTTTCCCGACCCTTGACTCCAGAAAATTTTTTCCTATATTTTATAATTGCAAAATTTTTGATGCTCATTTTATAAAACGAACGTTTCTTCCTTACTTGACCTTTGAATTCATTCTCGTGTATAACGACATCTATAATCTGTTTATCACCCAAATTATTTTAGAATTACGTATGAGGGGCAGCATTATCAGAAACTCGCCCCGAGCAGCAGACTAGTTTGGTACGCCGTGTTTTCCCGAAAATAAGTCTGGGTCTTATTTCAATTTTCGTCCGATAACTAACACTAGTGCTTACTTTCGTGGGATGTCTTATACTTTCATGTATCTAAAACAAAATTACAAAGTAGTAACATGTTTTTATTCAACATAACTGCAAAACATAGATTACTATTAATCATTTAAAACGTGTAGGATAGATTTCTTGCTATCAACAAGTCAAAAAAAAAAAATTCGCGTTGTTGACTATGCCTTATTTTTGGGGTAGGTCTCATTTTCGGGAAGACACGGTAGTAGGCCGTGGCGCATTAGACAAAGCCGATGCTGCATCTCGAATGCAGCAAGCCGGTGCCGCAGTGATTTTTTACGCATTACGTAATATTGCGTCAGATTTGTTTTGATCACGTTTTCTCGTGCAACTTCGTGCTTGTTTACGTGAAACCGCT